ACATAAGTAAAAATGGACAAAGAATTAAACAAAGCCAAATCACACTGGCTATACTTCCAATTTTCTTTTCCCCCTAATTTGTTACTTTTCTCAAACATTATCGGTTAATACTATCTTTCTCCGTCCAATTTTCACCTTCTTTTTCGTTCTTTCTTTTGTTTTCGCCCTTTTCATTAAACACGAATACGAGCATGGCACGAGCATGAATAGGCACAGCACGATTCGAACCGTGCCCGAGCCTGAGATAGGCCTAGCAAAGTTAAAAAATGGGTTTGCATGGCATGACACGAAATAAATGGACCTGAAGCGTGCCCGTGCCATGCCGGCCCAAGCACGGCCCAACGCCCATGTACACGTGACTGCATGAATGGAAGGAGTGAGCTGCCCGTATTTGGCTAAAGCAGGCCACCAACCTAAGATGAAGACCCCGTCCTCTTCCATTACTGCAGATGGCAATGGAAACCAGATTATTGGACCCAAGGACAAGGGAAGTATCAAGGGAAGGAAAATTGAATTCGTCTCCCCAAAGTCGGATGTGAAGTCTGCGCAAGAAAATGTGCAGCACCCTGTTGCTAGCTCCAAAGCAGGCAAACCGGGGGATGTGGTGACGGCCATGGTCGTCGATAGTTGCTAACTTGTCTAGCTGTTACCTGCAGGGGATCTGATTAATCATCATTTTTATGGTTAATATTTTCTCATGGAATTGCAGGGGTGCCAAGCACCATAAGTTCTTGTCTACCTTTCAGCTCTTTAAGAACACCCATAAACCAGATATTATGTGTGTGCTTGTACCCAGAATCAGTGGAAATGATGCCATTGAAGTTATCAGGAAGCTTGGTTTCGACTTTCGATTCATCAGCCATCTCTGATGCAGTTGGATTTAGTGGGGGGATTTGGCTGCTTTGGAATGATTGTGATGTTAAGGTGGAAGATATTGACATCCACAAACAGTTCATCAACCTCAAGTGTTGCTTTGATAGAAAGGAGAAGTTTGAACTTACCGTGGTGTATGCTAGCCCAAATGAACAAGACAGAGTTGCCCTTTGGGATGCAATCAGGAGTATTGAGAGCTGCACTAACCTCCCGTATCCTGACAGGGGATTTTAACTCCATCTCAAGAGCTTGTGAGAAGCAAGGTGGTGCCCCTTTTAGTTTTGGCAAGGTTCTTGCTTTCAACAACTTCATTGAGGACTATGGACTAATCGACATTGGCTTCTCGGGGCCTAAGTTCACATGGTTTACGAGAAGGCTTGGAATTAAGGAGAGACTGGATAGGAGTCTTTGCAACCTGGCTTGGCAGAACAGGTTCCCCATGACCACTACCTTTCACCTTCCGAAGATCAAATCTGATCACCGCCCTATCTTGACCTGCACTTCCACTCATAAGCCTAAACAGAAGCTGGTAAGAAGATTCCACTTCCTGGCTTGCTGGTTGGCTCACGAAAACTTCCAGCCTTTTTTGTCTTCTTCCTGGAAGTGTGGAGGGGAATTCCCTCTTGCTCTGAAGCAGCTCTCTGAAGAACTACAAAAATGGAACAGGGAGGTTTATGGTAATATATTTCAAAGGAAGAAACAACTACTGTCTGAGCTCAAATCACTGGAATTGTTGAATGAGGAGAGGTCAACAACCAGGTCAACTGAAAAGGAACAACAAGTGAGGGAAGAATTGGAGTTGACCCTGTGGCAGGAAGAGCTGCTTTGGATCCAGAAATCTCGATCCAATTGGGTGGTTTTTGGTGATTTAAACACTCGTTTCTTCCATTCCTGCACCCTCAGCAGAAGAAAGAGGAACAAGATCACCAGCCTCCGAGATGACCTGGGACAATGGATCTGTGATGCTGACACCCTTCTTTTTATGTCCAGGGAGTATTTTCTTCACCTCTTTACCAAGAATGCTATGACTGATAGGATCAACCTACATGCTTTCTTTCCTCCTCTGGATCATGTTGTTTTGTCTAGAATGGAGTCTCTCCCTAACTTTGAGGATATTAGGAAGGTAATGATGGACATGAATGGCCTTAAAGCACCTGAAAAGGATGGCTTTCAAGCTATCTTCTTCCAAAAATGCTGGCAAGCCATTGGCAGTGACTTCTGCAATTTCATTGTTTCATGCTTCAGAAACCCTTGCAGAATCCACTGTCTGAATGATACCCTTATTACCCTTATCCCCAAAGTTGAGAACCCCTCCTCAATGAGTCAGTTCAGGCCAATTAGCCTTTGTAATGTTGGCTACAAAGTGGTGGCTAAACTTGTTGCAAACAAACTGAAACCTCTGATGCCTTGTTTAGTTAAGAAAAATCAGTCTAGTTTCATCCCTAATAGACATATTACTGATAATATTATTATTCTGCAAGAAACAATTCATTCAATGGCAAGAAAGAGTGGAAAGAAGGGTTTTATGGTGCTGAAAGTTGACCCAACTAAAGCTTATGACAGAATTGACTGGGACTTTCTGGAAGAAACTCTCAATGCTGCCAAGCTTCCAGCCAGCCTGATCAGCATAATCATGGAGTGTGTGACATCTACCAGCTACCAGGTCCTTTGGAATAGAGGAGAGACTGCAAGTTTCAAACCATCAAGAGGCCTCAGACAGGGATGTCCCCTCTCTCCCTACCTTTTTACCCTTTGTGTTGAGAGGTTGAGTCACTGTATTGCTCATGAGGTTGAGTCTGGTACTTGGAATCCCATCAGACTCTCCCCAGGAGGCCCAGCCCTCTCCCATCTGTTCTTTGCAAATGACATGGTTCTTTTTGTGGAGGCTAACCCTGCCCAAGCTGACACTGTCCTAAAGTGCCTTACCTGTTTCTGTGATGCTTTAGGGGAAGCTGTCAACAAGGAGAAGTCTAGGGTGTTCTTTTTTAGGAATGTGAAGAACCATACTAGACTTGAAATTTGTAAGAGATTAGGTATACAGTCCACCAGTGACCTAGGAAGATACTTAGGTGTCCCTGTGTTGCATGGTCGTGTTACTAAGTCTACTTACAAGTATATTATTGAAAGAATTGACCAGAAACTAACTAACTGGAAAGCTAGAGCCCTCTCCCTTGCTGGCAGAGTGACCCTGGCCACTTCTGTGCTTAATGCTCTTCCAACCTATGCTATGCAAACCACTTTCCTCCCTGCTTCTATTTGTGATACAATTGATAGGAAAGTTAGAGCTTTTGTATGGGGTTCTGGGGAGGGAAAGAGGAAGGCTCACCTGGTTTCTTGGGAAAACATCTGCAAACCTAAGGAACAAGGTGGGCTGGGGTTGAAGTCTGCTAGACAAATGAATATGGTTTACATGATTAAGCTTGGATGGAACATGCTTAACAAGGATGATGATCTGTGGGTTCAAGTGTTGCAGGGGAAGTATTTCAAGATGAGGAATGGTGAGATCCTCTCAATGAAGAAGAGTAATCATTCCAATCTGTGGAAGGCCATGGTCAAAGGAATAAACCTGATGAAACATGCTACCTGTTGGAGCATCCGTGATGGCCAAGCCACCAAGTTCTGGACACAAGCATGGGTTGACAACGACATCATCCTGGAGGACTTCGCTCTTGATGATGTACCTGAAGAAGAGAAAGATTCTGTTGTTGCCAATTGGGTCACTGAGGGAGGTGAGTGGGATTGGTGGAAACTTAGAACTGCCCTCCCTGATTGCATCCTTTCCTTGATTGCAGGTGTGGAAGCCCCCAACCCAAACCTGGGTGAAGATACAAACATCTGGGGACTGGAGTCAAGTGGTCGTTTCAGCTTGAAATCAGCATACAACCTTGCAGCTGAGGAGATGGAGGAGGAAGGAGAACCAGAAAGAGGCTGGAAAGCTCTTTGGAAATGGAAGGGCCCTAGTAGAATCAAGAATTTTATTTGGCTTGTCATGCACGAAAGGCTGATGACCAACAAAGAAAGGAGAAGAAGAAAGCTCACCACCAACAGCTTCTGCAGCCTCTGCAAGGATAAAGAAGAACCCATTGACCACATTCTGAGAGACTGCAGCAAAGCGAGGGAGATTTGGGATTCTTTTCCCTACAAAGTTACTGCTAATAGCATGAACCTACCCTTGAGAGAATGACTGCTAACAAACCTTACTCGGGAGGAGAGTGCTACTGGTTTTGGTATCATCATATGGCACTTGTGGAAACAAAGAAACGAAGAAGTCATGGAGGGGCGCGCCTTCTGCAAGAAAGGTTTGATTGCCAGGATTAAAGCCTGGTTCCACATTGTGGAACAGGCACACCAGAATGTGCAGAAGACCTCACTTACCAGTAGGAGTGTAGGCTGCACGAGATTGATCTACTGGGTTCCACCTGATGAAGGATGGATCCAACTGCAAATGGACGGTTCTGTGATCACTTCGACTGGGAAAGCTGCTGTTGGAGGACTTTTCAGAAACAACTTGGGACAATGCAAAGGGGCCTTTGTCTGCAACCTTGGTTCGTGTTCCATCACTGCTGCTGAGATCAAAGGCGTGTTGGAAGGGCTCAAAATTGCGTGGCAGAGAGGGTACAGGAGGATTCAGCTCAACCTGGATTCTTTGACTGCTCTTTAAATCATCAAGCAACGCCAGAACGACAACCATCGACATGGTAGCTTGGCTAAACAGTTTAGCTATCTTTTGAACCTCGATTGGGAGGTGACAGTTTCTCATGTATATAGGGAAGCTAATTGTGCTGCCGATTTCTTGGCTAACAAGGCACATGACTTTGATTTTGGCACACATCCTTTCAATGTGTGCGATGTGGACTTCGTCCAATGGCTTCGCCACAATGTAATGGGAACTTCCCATGAATGTTTTACTACTAATGTGATTTAGACGCTTTGCGTCTGTCTTTCAACCCAAAAAAAAAAAAAACCACACAGGCCATAGGAATTGCGCCTTGACTCCAGCACAGTCTCATATAACTACGGCCCAACTGTTATCAATTACAAATCAGACCAAGGATTGGGCCTCATCAAAGCCCATAACCATAACCCTTAACCCGCACCGTATATAAAGCCTCCCAAACCCAGTTCTTCAAAACCCTACATCCTCCTCCCCTTTTACCCCATTTCCACAGATCAACGCCGCCGCAGAAGCAGCCGAGCCAAAAGCAACAATGGTGTCCGGTTCAGGGATCTGCGCGAAGAGGGTGGTCGTCGACGCCCGCCACCACATGCTCGGCCGCCTCGCCTCGATCCTCGCCAAGGAGCTCCTCAACGGCCAGAAGGTCGTCGTCGTCCGCTGCGAGGAGATTTGCCTGTCCGGCGGACTGGTCCGCCAGAAGATGAAGTACATGAGGTTCCTGAGGAAGCGCATGAACACCAAGCCTTCCCATGGCCCAATCCACTTCCGCGCTCCTTCGAAGATCCTCTGGCGGACCATCCGTGGCATGATTCCTCACAAGACCAAGCGCGGGGAGGCCGCTCTCGCCAGGTTGAAGGTCTACGAGGGCGTCCCGCCGCCGTACGACAAGGTCAAGAGGATGGTGATCCCCGACGCTCTCAAGTGAGTCGCTGCCCTTTTGTTTCTAGATTATGTGGATTGGATTTTGTTTAGGGTTTTTGGGATTCTGATTTTTGTTGCTTCTTTTGCTAGGGTTTTGAGGCTGCAGAGTGGTCACAAGTACTGCTTGTTGGGCAAACTCTCCTCTGAAGTTGGGTGGAATCACTATGATACCATCAAGGTATTGTTTTCCCCCCTGATTAGCGTTGTTGTAGCCCTTATTCCAGTGAATGATTAGACATTGCAGCTAGATTCCACTGATTTGGTGTATGGCCTAATTGTGTGTTTATGGAGTAGTGGATTGCAAATCTGTTGGAATTTCTATCCATAAGACTTACTTATAAGGTGTTGTGAAGCTGTACGCTGAAAGTTCGCATTTTTAAGTTCTGGTTTCATGAATTTGAAGTGTTTGGTCCTCTGTACAACTTAGCTTGATGCCATTGTCTTGTGCATTAAAATGCGAAGCAAGTGAATGGTGCTTCTGAATTCAGTCAATCAAACTTTTACATTCTGTGTATATTGTGGGTGAGTACATAAAGTTTCAGAACATAGTGAGTTTAGGCGACTTGTTTTTTTGAACGTGGTTGTCGTTCTTAAGGCTTTTGGTCTGTATGAGGTGTGGAAGCTGGAATGTGATTGTGTGGTTTAATTTATATCTGCTAATGAAATTACAACAGGAGCTTGAGAGGAAGAGGAAGGAGAAGTCCGCTGTCATGTACGAGAGGAAGAAGCAATTGGCGAAACTTAGGGTTAAGGCCGAGAAGACCGCTGATGAGAAGCTCGGTGCCCAGCTCGAGGTCATTGCTCCCATCAAATATTGATCCCAAACATGAACTTGTTTCCTATGTTTTGCTGCATGATCTTTGTAGGGATTTAATCTTTGCAAGTTTTCAGAGAATATGTATTTTGATCTTTCTGGTTTTGTCGTGGATTTATCTTAAGAGAGTGGATTAATTTTTGTGATAGTTACATTGAGATCCTCGTTCTTGCAAGTTGCATCCTTCGCCTGATTTGCTATGTGTCAAATTATTCGATAGCTCATTCTACCTTAACCTGGAATAGGGAATGTTCTTTCTTATCCTGTAGTGCGAGGGCATGAGTCTATTTCCAAACATTATTTTTGGCGGCTGGGCATGAGTCTATTTCCAAACATTATTTTTGGTTGAGCCGCCATTGAAGATGGCAGTGACATCCTATGTTCAGTGATTTCATACAAAGTATTAAGCTACATTTCTCGTCATAGGTGTGAACTAAACCTATGACTTCGTGATTGAAGGCAGTGTCCATTAAACCGTACCAGCGGTTCAACCACGAAATACCAGTATCGGAGGTTAAACCGATATGTAGTATTTAGCGGTATAACGATTGAACTACGGTTAAACCACGGTTTTACCATAAAATACCCTACCGCTTACTTTCTCGGTACGGTCTTCGGTACGGTTTCATGGACCAATTTGCAGGATGAAGTGATCAACAACGAAGCAACTGTGGGTTTTTTTTCGCTTGTTGCATTATGTTTGCTGGAGAAAAATAGGAAACTATAAATCTATAATCAGAAAATTGTGGACAAAATTTTGTAGCCACTTTTCCCCATGAATGGGTGGTTTTATTCATAAAATACAATCAGAGATTACAAGCAAAGACTTTATGTCCTATCAGACTTAACAAACAACTATAGGAAAACTATACATCCATTTACATCGAACTACTCCATGTATACCACAAGTCCACAATAGTCGGCAGCAGGAGAGCTGGCAACACTCTGATCCCCCTGTACTTTTGCTTCCTTGACTCGTTGCATCTTCTGAACCAATCTTGCTACTGTCAGACTCTCGTGGCCATATAACCTGCGGCAGCGCTCTCTCCATACTTCACTTACTACCAAGCACAACAAAATCCTGCCAACTCCGCACTTTCCCAGCTTCTGCACTGCATGCAACACTGCTTGATTCAGCGAACTTGGCAAAGGAAGCTGCCAAAAACTAGGAAAGATTGTAATCCATACTTCCTATACATATTCACACAAGAAGAATACAAGTTCCCTTGTTTCCTCTAAACTACCACATAGAGGACAGACAGTGCAGACAACAAGGTTCCATCTTCTAACTTTATCTAAAGTATTAACCCTATCAAGATAACAAGCCAGGTTAACACTGAATTTTTAGGGATACCTCCCTTCCAAACCAGCCCGGACCACTGCACTATATCACCTCTTGGTCTCAAACTACGCCACAATTTGCTGATGTGAAACTTCTGCATTAATTCCCCATCCCGTTCTATGCCCCGGTCAGTTTTACATAACTTGCCTTCCACCAAATCTTGAATTTTTAATATCTTGTTCCACACCCAGGAGCCCCGCGTTTGTATTTCCCAGATGCTTTGATGACGAAGACGATACTCATTTAACCATGCAATCCATAGGGTCTCCTGATCAGAGAGAATTCCCCAAAAATGTCGAACTAGGCAAGCTTTATTCCAGGAGTGTAAGTTTTTGAACCCCATACCACCCTCTGTGCGAGGGAGAGCTACTGTTTTCCAGACAACCTTGGCTCGCTTCTTCTTTTCAAAATCACTCCAAAGAAACTGTGAGCACAGATTCTCTATTTCTTTGATGACCTTCTTAAGCAACAATATTGCATTCATCCACTACTGGGACATGCTGGATAATACAGAGACTACAAGCTCAATCTTCCTTGCATAAGATAGCAACTTTGGTTGCCTGCCTAGGATCCTCCCTGCTATCATGCTGATCAAGGACTTACAATCTTCATCAGTCAATTTCCCTGCATTCAACGACAACCCAAGGTACCTGACTGTCAATGCCCCTTCTTTAAACCCCGAGTGTCGCACTAATTCCCCTTTAAACTCTTTGTCACTCCAGCACTGAAAATTTCAATTTTGCTAGGATTACACTGCAAACCACACTAAGTAAAATTTCTGAAGAATTTCAGCAATCACAGTCACTCCTTTTACCGACCCTTTAGTGAATACCAACAAGTCGTCTGCAAAGCATAAATGGGTAAGACCAATGCGGCTGCTTTGAGGGTGATATGGTAGCACTTATCTAGCTGCTGCTCTGCATACAACTAAGAATCTCCATGCTAGCTGCAAATAGGTAGGGAAAAAGGGGACACCCCTGTCTCAACCCTTTCTGAGCTTGAAAATGGCCAGTAAGTCCCCCATTTATACAAACAATGAAGCTGGTAGATTCAAGACAACCTTTAATCCAATTGACAAACCTTTTTGGGATACTCGATCGTCACATTTCCCAGGTTCGAATCCCTTAATACTTAATAACAAAAAGTAATCTATATCGCCTTTATAAAAAAAAACAGAGAAACACTTTGCTAGTCCTAGCTCTAAACCAGAGCCATCCATATCGATCTTCACATTTCCCAGGTTCGAATCCCTTAATACTTAATAACAAAAATTAATCTATATCGCCCTTATAAAAAAAACAGAGAAACACTTTGCTTAGTCCTAGCTCTAAACCAGAGCCATCCATATTGATAGGAAATCGGGCGTCTACTCTAAGTTCCCCTAGCTAGGGCTAGCGATTTGGTCCAAACTGTTTGGTTTTACCCAAAACCGGACCATATAACCCGGACCGGGATCGGATAGCAAACAATCCAATCTCATATTCAGGCATAGATTTGAGGTAAAAAAAAACACGAATAAAGACCGGATAAGAGACCCCCAACACCTAAAATCAAGATCAAATTGGGACCGGACCGGGTCAAGACTGGATTGTATCCAATCCAATCTTGTGTCCTTATATCCCCGAAAAGACCGGACTTGGACCGAATCAATTTGGTCTAATTTAACCGGACCGGACCATATAGCCACCCCTACCCCTAGCGCTAAAGAGCTTTGCCTTCTTCTCTGAAGCTTCTCGTATCTGTTGGTGGAGAATAAATGTCATATACAGGCCCATGTATGGTACTTAACCACTTCCTTACACACCCCCTCAAACGAAAGCCGACTCATGGGCTTGAAGTTTGCACAGGCCCGACATACTATGTGATTGAAAGACAACGGTTACTATTGGGGGTCGTGAGGATTTGAACACGTGACCTCAATGACAAACCAGCTCTGATACCATGTCATAAACCAGTTGGTTCCATTAACTCGAGTTGTTGGAAGAAGGTTATATTGGATCTTATACAAACTCATGTATGGTACTTAACCACTTCCTTACAATAAATGTGTTGCTGCAAATTTGGTTGACTAGTTGGTCCGCGAACACTTAGTTCTTCCGATTCTTTCAAAGCATCCAACACACTCTGCAAACATGGGGAAGTATCGAGCTACGACCTTTGATGTAATGCATATCTACTAGTGGTAATATTTCATTAGTATTAGGCGTTTGAAATGATCGTAATAGGAACCCATATCTACTAGCGGTAAAATCTAATTAATATTGAAGAAAGACGCCCCTCAATTAACTCATAATTGAGGGTTAATTTGATGGTGAACTCTAACAATCAGAGTTGCATATTTTATAATTTTTTTTGTTATAGATAACCTTATCCTCATTACCATATTCTTCGCCAACTGATTTTTCCCCCTCTCAACAACACCTTCTTGTTCCCCGCATTAATTATCGTGGATTGAATGTTTAAAGTTTCCACCACAACAACCTTGTTCTTCATGCATTGCGGTTGATCCCTGTGTATAAATTCATAACCAAAACCCCCTACACATTATCATCACGATCACCTCGCACATTGAAGCAAACAAGAAGATCGAAAAAGGGGAAGGATAACAATGGGGCAAAAGGGCGGTGTTGCTGTAGTCTGGCTCCTGCTCTTGTCAGCACTGCTTTCCCAAGTGTTGGTCCAAGCATATAATTTTTTCCCAAAAACGAAGGTGGTTATGTTTAACCAAATCGAAGGAGGGCCGAAACTGATGGTTCACTGCAAGTCCAGGCAAGACGATCTGGGAGTGCGCTGGTTGGAACCGGGAAAGAGTTTCGAGTGGTCCTTCCACCCGCACTTTTTTGCAAAGACTTTGTACTTCTGCGCCTTCCGCTGGGAACACGGAGCTCATCTTGTTTGGTTTGACATCTACAAACAACAGAGGGACGAAGAAGTGTGCAAACAGTGTCAATGGGCCATCAGGAGAGATGGACCGTGCTTGGCCGTATCGGGTTCCGAAATGTGTTATCATTATAGGGACCATCTTCAGTTAGACAACGAGCTCTTCTAGGCACACTATAGGTGATCAAGTTCATTTTGGGTTGGACACAAATTTTTGTGAATAATTAGTTATGTTGCATTGCATATAGTATGGGATAGGATGTTGTTAGCTCCATCTATAACTAGGAATATGGTTTTGATGCTTTTATTGGGAGACCTGATGGAAGTGGAATAAAATGAAAATTCTTCTTCTTCTTCATTAATATCTTTATTATAATCTTGGTTATTACTATTAAACTTTTAATCGTGATGTTTAGATCCCAAAAACCGATACTAAACTTCCAGTCCTATTACTCTCCTTGTCCCTTACCCACAATGTAAATTTGGCTCCCACCCAAAAGGGCCAAGCCTCCATATTTGCCCCCGATGTTTGACGGATCGGAGAGACCAAAAGGCCAAATTCCCATTTCCCATCTTCAGTTTTTTTTTGGGAGATTTCCCATCTTTAGTTGGTGACCGTCCAACTTACTATGTTTTGCATAAAATATAGAATTATTATTCGATATAGTTTCGGCTTAACATAAATGAACAATTTTGACTTAACTTTTAATAAGATAAAAATAAACCACTGATAATTTTTTTTGAATGACATAAATAATGATACTGAGTCGCTAATGATTCCTTAAAAAAAAAAGAATCGCTAATGATTAGATGAGTTAATCGGCAGTGTTGTGTTGAAGGTGAACTCAAATAGTGATAACTAACCCATTATTATAAAAGTTGGAGTAATAAAAATTGGGGATACAATTATTTATTTGTTTAAAATTGGGTTTACATTAGAGTATTAACAAAAATGTATGTCGTTTTAGTAAATATTGTTGTTGGGTAGAAGCATGGTTGTCAAACCACTGATATGTCAGCCAGTATAACCAGTTTCAACTGATATCTACATATAACAGGTTGGAATCATATGAAGTGGTAGTCAAAATCGGTAAAAACTAGTCAAAATTGAGAAAATAGATGGTCCGACCAGTATGATCGATTTCTGATCCCTAAACAAAATTACCTAGATTTGATGAATTGAATTAACAAAAAAATATTTATATATGATAATTTGTCATTTTATTTAAAATATAGATTATATTATATTTAAATATAAATTTAAATTTTTGGATGTCAATGTTAAATATTATATTTAAATATGAGCATTTAAGCTTTGGTTTGTGATGGTTTATTTTGTTTAAATAAATATAGATATAGATGATAGGAAGTTTGTCTATATAAATATAAATATTAATTAATTTGTTATTAATAAGTTTTCATATTTTCTACGTATTTTATTAACTATTTCTTAGAGTGAAATATTTTATTAACTAACATGAAAAGAACAGGCTGTATTCCGGTCGGACCATACTGATTAAAACTCAGTGCAACATTATCAACCGGTTTGACAACCTTGGGTTTGGGTAGTAGATTAGGTAAGAACTCACCTAACCTTGCGCTGATCTCTCTCTTCGTTTCAAGTTTCAACCCTGTCTTGTCATCTCTACCGCTGGATCAATCCTTTGCACTCTCCTCCTAAAATTTCTGATTTGGCTTCTCCTCTTCTAATTTCTAAATTTATACGTTTCCGGTCTCGGGTGTCGAGTTCTTAGCGATCTCATTAGAAATATCGCCGGCCACCTACCATACCAATTAGGCAATTACCATTTACCAACCCCTTTCTGAAGATTCCGGCGACCTTGATCTGATCCTCCGGCAACCCACCAAAACTCCGATGGCTACCATTTCCAAGCTCTCATCCAATCTTCACCATCCCCTCCAATCATCTTCCCATCCCAACTCGCCATCTCCCTTCTCCAACATTTCCTTCCTCCCCTTCCAAACCCCCAACCGGTCTTCTTCTTCCTCGCCTTCGCCTTCTCTCCGGCTTGTTTTCTCCGGCAAGCCCTCGACGCCCTCTTTCCTGTAAGTGCTCCTCTCGATTAACTTGTCACTAATTTTTACCCTTTTTGTTGGATTGCTTGTCTTATATTAAAAACCCTTTGTCGCGGTTGATCACTGGTCCTTCATGGGTATGCAGAGTTAGGTGTTCTGCTTCAGCGGGGAATGGGAGCCCTGCAAAGAGAACCACTCTTCATGATCTCTATGAAAGGGAAGGTCAGAGCCCTTGGTATGATAATCTCTGCCGCCCTGTCACCGATCTCATCCCTTTGATTGAGACTGGTGTTAGAGGCGTCACTAGCAACCCTGCGGTAACTGGTTCTTTGTCTGTTTGTCTTGCTATGATATATTTCCATCCTTTCATTTTCTTAATTGGCTTTCTTCAATCTGTGCTTGCAGATTTTCCAGAAGGCTATCTCATCCTCCAATGCCTATAACGATCAGTTCAAGTACTTCCCTTTTCTCCTTACTCATCACTTTGTGCCTTAACTTTGCTTCCCTATCAATTCCAGACATATACTCCTTTTCCTGTGCTTGATATCCCCTTACTAATGGTGGGCTCTTCCTGGGTCCTGAGTTGGACCCCTTTCATTTCCCTTATATGTTCATGGATACTGAACCTCGTCGCGTCGTTCTGTGGATTTTTAGTAAGAATGATAGTGATATAAGATCGTTTCTGGTTCTTAGGGAGCTTGTGCAGTCAGGGAAAGACATTGAAAATGCGTATTGGGAACTCGTAATTAAGGATATTCAGGACGCGTGCAAGCTCTTTGAGTCTATCTATGATCAAACAGACGGAGCTGATGGCTATGTCTCTGTTGAGGTTTCTCCTAGACTAGCTGATGATACCCAAGGGACCGTCGAGGCAGCGAAATGGCTGCATAAGGTGGTAGATCGTCCCAATGTGTACATCAAGATTCCTGCTACTGCTGCATGTGTGCCCTCCATTAAGGATACGATCTCACTTGGTATCAGTGTGAACGTGACTGTAAGTTCACTCTGTGTCTACTCCCTTAGCTGTTTATTTTCCACTAGTGTTATTTCTTAGAACACAGGCTCTGCAAGTGTCTACTCTTCCTAGTGAAACAGCTATAACCTTTTGAGTATCCCTAATGACCATTTTTCATTAAGAAAATTTCCTCTTTTTGGTAGCAAGTCACAATTGTGTGCACAGCTCATAGTCTGATGTTTTTTTTGTGGTGTGTGTGTGTGTGTTTATGCATTGGTACAGCTCATATTCTCTCTCGCTAGATATGAAGCCGTCATTGATGCTTACTTGGATGGCCTCGAGGCATCTGGCCTAAGTGACCTCTCTAGAGTGACGAGTGTTGCTTCCTTCTTCGTAAGTAGGGTGGACACTCTCATCGACAAAATGCTAGAGAAGATTGGGACTCCAGAGGCACTTGATCTCCGCGGAAAGGTAAAATGAAATGAAATGCCAATTCATTGTTGTCATCCTTGTAATGCTGATATATTCGGAAATTGGAACCCATAAATATTGATTTATTCATCAATGGATCTTCAATCTTAGGCCGCAGTAGCTCAAGCAGCTCTGGCATACCAGCTGTACCAGAAGAAATTCTCTGGCCCGAGATGGGAGGCCTTGGTGAAGAAGGGTGCCAAGAAGCAGAGGCTGCTGTGGGCATCAACTAGCGTGAAAAATCCTGCCTACTCTGATACTCTATATGTGGCACCCCTTATTGGACCAGACACGGTAGGTTTCGAACTCTGCCTGACTGCGATCATGTGGAGCAGAGTTTTTCAGTATCTTGATTTTGCTGAAGGGTCGAATGGTTTGTGATAATGAAGGGTCTATGCCTCACTCTTTGTCCTGGTGTAGGTCACAACCATGCCTGATCAAGCACTTCAGGCATTCGTCGATCATGGAACCGTTGGGAGGACCATCGATTCTAGCGTGTCAGAAGCTGAAGGAATATATAGTGCTCTGGAGAAGCTGGGCATTGACTGGAGCCAGGTAGGCGATCAGCTGGAGGCAGAAGGAGTGGATTCATTCAAGAAGAGCTTTGAGAGTCTGCTGGACACCCTGCAAGAAAAGGCCAACTCCCTTAAACTAGCTAGCATGTAAACTGGAAATTAGCAGTCATATTGAGTTGTTGATTGATCTTTAGTTGCCAGTTTTCGGTAACGAGAACTTCGGTCTGTTGCATCATTGAGGTCGTGGATTTGGCGTTGCGTGGGTCTGCACTATATGTTTTTCCAATAAATGTGCGTTAATCGATCGATAAATGATTGAAACACTTTTGTTCTTCCTTCCCTTTCTTCAAAAATTTCCAGGGCACTAATGGAGTGGTTAAGTATTATTCCATTTACATAAGAACTGGACCACAGCTAACAGAGGTCTGGATAATATGTGCAGGTAAAGGACCATATATGTTTCTGGTGCAATCGTCCTAAACTTCTGAAATTGAGTTGCCCTGTTGCAAGAAATGTTCTAGTTACTCTTTTAGACAGTGTTATGCTAATGCTATCTAGCTGCTAAGAGTACTCTGCAACATGACAAATTTACTGATAAGCTTAGTTCCATCGAATTTGACCTTATTGATCCAATCGAGAAAGGACGTCCAATCTTTCCTTTTTTAGTACTTTATGGTAGAAACAATCTTAACTTTTTAACGCGGATAAAATATCAAACACAACACAACCTTCATCACTAGTAATAATCAGATGTCAAAAAATAATGATCTGCGATTCTGTAGAGAGTTGTCACGTTGTCAGTTTAACTTATTCCTAAACTACATCCTGCATAGTTAATTTTTGTGGACATGGAACCACGGATTGCAACTTGTTATATTTCTAGCCAATAGTAACATGGAATTAGTGATTGCAATGGGGCTAGATGAGTATGGCAATATTCATGCATGTATCGTACTAAGCGTGAATCAGGTTAACCTTTCATTATATGATATGTGAAAAAGAATGCATGTACCGTACTAAGCGTGAATCAGGTTAACCTATTATTTATGATACGTGAAAAAGAATATCGATTAACTCTTTTTCTATAACACATATATAAAATATTTCATAAATGAATGCGAAATATAGTAGAAGAAATAATTGAGTCCAAATAGTTGAACGATCGAGTTTTAAAATTTCTTTGAGATGGAAATGTATTTTAGTACATCAGCAAAAAAAAAAAGATTTTAGTAATTTTAAATGAGGAGAAATACATGATAATATTGATGCAAATCATGGTAGAACTGGTCGAGATGAGGCAGGTCAGAAGCATTTCACATGTCTCGCCCCACGTTATTACGAGATGAGTAATACTCGCTTCAAACAGGTTGGGACAAGTCAGGTCACAAGAGAGGCATGTCAAAAATTGTTACCAGGACATGGAATTTACCACAAAAAAGGAGGAAATTTCCTTGTGTTGTAAAAACAGATTTTATGGCAACATAATTTCCATTATTGAGTTACGTTGTAACTTTGTAATGTGGAGGGAAAATGCTGTTCTCTTAACGTATAGCTATTATTGAGCTCAATCCATTATACGGTGCAACATGCATACTATTTCTTATCCAAAATTAAGTGTATCTTATGAATAATTAATAAAATTACACAAAAAATATATGAGGGGTGGGCAATGGGTTGGTCCAAACCGGATCACATCGGACCTAATCGATGTTTGGACCGGATCACACCGAATCGAATATAATATGGTCCGGTCCTTGATTCCATGAATTTTAATAAATACTATAGAAAACTAGACCGAACTGACATTTGGACCGGACCAAACGAACCGAATGCACTATTGGTCCGACCTTTAATCATAAGTTATCTTTCACGATTGGATCGCGATTCTCTGAATTCAGTCCGATTCGATCCGGACCAGACCCATGCCCACCACTACCTTTGATAAGGGAATGAGGTAAAGGTGGCATGACATCTACCTTTCTTCCATTAATAAACTTCTTCTCTTGTGCCCAAGAACAGGCTCAGATCATTTACTAACTAATATTCCTTGCAAAGGGTGACAGTTGGGGGCACTTTCTTTTTCTTTCCATTCACTTCTTTAACATTTTCACCCCTCCAATTTCCCACTTACCCTCCCCAACCTTCACCTTTCTTTATTATTATATATAAATACAAATACACATCTCCCCCTCTCATTTTGCATCACCCACCGCCGGCTACAATATGGCTGACACAGCTCTCTTCTTGTGCGCTCTGCTTGCGGCCGTTAATGCTCTGCTGCTGTCAGTTGCGGCGGATCAGTACGGTGATGATCAGGTTCTCAGTGCTGACGTGGAGGCTAAGCACTTGAGATTGGCGCCTCGTCCGCTTCTCAGAGGCGGCAGCAGAGGGATCGGGATCGGGATCGGCCGCGGGATTCCCGACAAAGGGTTCCGCCACGGCAGGTTCGGCGGCGGCGGCTATGGAGGCGGCATTGGACACGGCGGTGGTGGCATTGGCGGCCGGATTGGACACGGTGGGGGGCTTGGAGGCGGTGGTGGACTAGGGGGTGGCAGCGGCGGCGGCGGTGGGTATGGCGGCGGTGCAGGGGTTGGCGGCGGCGGCGGCGTGGGGGAGGGAGATTATAGCGGAGGAGATCAGCTTGGAGGCGGAGGCGGAGGCGGTGGTGGTGATTACGAAGGTCTAGATCCTGGGTACGGTGATGGAGTAAGTGTCGGAGGTGCTGATGGTCCCTGATGAAAGCTGACATTCGCCGCCGGCCGGCGGGCATTCCCGACAAAGGGTTCCGCCTGCCGGTTTAGCTCGAAAACGTGGAAAAGAGTCATTATATTGTACTTATCCTGATAAATTATATAAAATTTCATCTTTATAACATATAATATTACACCAAAATAGCATGTCGTACTTAGATCCAACGTATAGTGAAAATTCACACACACTTATATAACATCAATATTCAAGTGTTCAACTTAGGATTCCAAAGATTGAGTTAGACAGAGGGGAAAAAATCGGAAAATAGGCGGATTTTGCAAACCAAAGAAAAAAAATGACATAATTTGACCTCCGACCCGGTACCTTGTAGCAGTCGACCCCGCGAGTGCGTGCAACCCGTTTTTCTCATTGGATCAGGGTCAAATTGGGTCGATCCGCGGGTAGACAACATTGTCTACGTGGCTACATCTGTGTGTAAGGTTACTCGTGATTTTCACTCCATGCACTTCTCACGTTGTGTCTCTTACCTTATGATAATGTGCAAAGTATATTTGATGTTCCACCAAATTGGTCTAATTACGATAATGTGTAAGTATATCGTAATTTATACAAACAAACATGAATCTTAATGATAAAAATGTATAAATATATTGTCAACTTTTTAACATCAATCACGAAGACAAAATTTACAATTAATCTAGATAAAGTTAACGAGATTATATACTCATCAAGGCGCTTCATAATTTTGTAACCAAGGGGTCATCTGCCTCCACTAATTCATTAATTGATTTGCTCTTCAATTTAATATATAAGTTTAAATTTTTTGTGATTAAGGTACTATTTAAGAGATTTGAATTTGAGACCTACAAGTTTTGGACTAATGATATTATCACTAGACCAAGCCATTTCCGTAAAATACACACAAAACGCTATTCAATCTTGGTGTGAACTTTGAAGAGAGCGGATTTTCTGTCTTGAATATTAAATCAACCGGTTCTCGACATTGTATTAGTATTTTTCTGATCGAGTTAGATATTTTATTTGAGTACCGATGACCCCAATTATTAAGCAATATGAGTTGTCTTTCGTTTGAGTAGTCGTATTAGTAAATGTTAGATGATCTATAATTGATCTTCTGCCAATAACTCGAGTTACTGGAACCAATATGATTCTTGACATGTTCGAGCAAAAGTGATTAGGGCCCACTTAAAAAGAGACGCACATACACTCAAAAGGCTTAAATCATCATACGCACGAGATATATAATCTAACAAGAATATGAATTATCAACAAACCAACTAATAATATATAGATAAATTACTTCATAAGCTGCTAGTTGAGCTGGCTCGCTAATCTCATTATCGAGCTAACTCATGAACTCAAAACGAACCAGCTCATAATTTACACTCCACAAGCCACCAAATAAAACTAGCGTTGAGAGTTTGTAAAGTGTAATTCAATCTCCGCTCCTTAATAAACAGACCAATTATCCAACGAATTTTCGAAGAGTCCGGATCTGGTGACTAAGGGGGGGTCCTTAGTCACTTGACTAAGGCCCCCTCAGCCCTTGGATTGATCTAATGGTCCAGATAAACCAATTAATTAATATTAAATGAGAAGGGTAGTTTTGGCATTATATAAATTATTAACTTCTATTTTTTGATTTTGTTTTATTTATTATTATTGAATACTTTTTTCCATCTGCTACGTCTCTTCCCTTTCCCTTTTTTGCAATGTCCAGAGAGAGAGAGAGAAAGTCGTGGGCGGAGGATGAGAGAGAGAAAGAGAAACGCGGCGGCTTTGCTGGAGGAGAGAAACGCGGCGGCTTTGCTGGATGGAGATCTCGATGGCGCCGACGACGGTGGAGAGAGGCGGCGACCTCGATTGATAGATAGAGAGAGAGAGGCAGCAATGGCCGTTGTCGCAGAGAAACAGAGGAGAGAGAGAGAGATCGTGGCGGAGGAGAGAGAGGCGATGGCGGAGAGAGCTTCGACGATGATGGAGAAGAGAGAGGCGATGGCGGAGAGAGAGAGAGGTAACGACGGCTGTAGAGAGAGTCGGCGGCAGCGGCGGCGGCGGCGGCGGTGGAGAGACTTCGTATACGTCGTCTGAAGGAAGAACAGTGATTTGTATAGTTTGTATGTTTTGTAACATTAGTTTGTATTGTTAGTATTTTTGTACAAAATGTCAGTATGGTTTGTATAGTTTGTAACATTAGTTTGTACTCTTAGTATGTTTTTCTTTGACAGTTTGTACTCTTAGTATGTTTTTCTTTGACAGTTTGTATTCTTAGTATGTTTTGCTTGTATTCTTAGTATGTTTCGCTTTGTATTATAAGTACTAATAATTTGTATACTTTATATGTATTGATTTGTGATGCAAAAAACATTACAAACATGGTTGACAAAAATGACAAACATGTGGACAAAAATAACAAACATTACAAACAATACAAAAGAAACCAACAAACATTACAAAATAACAAACATTACAAACATTGCAAACAAACATTACAAACATTACAAACAACATTACAAACAGTACAAAGCATACTACACGTACAGAATATCACTACTTACAATACAGATTGGTAAACTTGTATTACAAACAAATGAATACAAAGTATACAAATCATAACATAAAAGTATACAAACTTGAATAACAAAAGTTACAAATACAAATCAATGAATAGAAAATGTATAAATCATAACATAAAGTATACAAACTAGACAAACAAACATTACAAACATTACAATGTATACAAAATAGTAATATAAACATTACAAACATCACGAACTCAATACTGTTGCCGGGAAATCATCCACCACCGTCTCTGGTCGCCGGAAAACTGCTCCGCCGTCGCCGGAAAAGTTGACTCTCTCTCTCTCTCTCTCTCCACCAAAAATGGTGACGGTGGCCATGGGCCAAAAGCCGCTCCCGCCGGCGGGAGGTCTCTCTCTGGGGGGAAATTCCCCAAATAATGGCGCCCACAGAGGCGGACGGGATCCGACGCGAAGGGACGGGGACGGACGGGATCCGACTCACCGCCGACGCAAAGGGGAAAAATGAAAAACGTCGGCTGAAACTCAGCAACCGCCGTCGGAGCCGCTGAAACAGAGAGTGAGTGACTCTCGATGGAAACCGCCGGACGAGGAAGACCGCCGACGCGACTCGACGCGCAAAGTGGAAAAATGGAAACCGCCGGATGAAACACCGATGAAACACAGCAACCGCCGACGGAGCCGCTGAAACAGAGAGCGACTATCGATGGAAACCGCCGGACGAGAAAGAACGCCGACGAAACTGACGAATTTGGTGACGAAAATGGCGAATCTGAAAAATGGTGGAGACGGAGAAGAAGGGGACTCTCTCCCGTGAAAATTGGTGGAATGGTTTGTGATTCTCTCTCCTCTCCACGAACAGCTTTTATATTAACATAAAAAAACAAATTTTTTTAAATAAAACCTAAATGACCAAAACACCCCGTCCCTACAGCTAAACCACTCCACCGTCAGATCTAAAAAGTAATCAACGGTTGAGAGGGGCTTAGTCTGATGACTAAGGGCCCCCCCTTAGTCACCAGATCCTGGCCCATTTTCGAACACTATCTGCACAAGTTGGATCATGTAGGCGGACTGGCGGGCTTAATAGTTTGGACCGAGTTAGCCCATTGGGTTCATAAGCAAGACTCTTATCAAGTTCAGAAGCTTCAGCCCGAGCCCATTCATCAACAGCGAAAGAATAAACGACGTCGCCCTGTAATGATCAATGAAAAATTCGACTGGTCAGGACCGTGGCCATCTCTGCTCGTGAAACCACAGATCGATCTCAACTCCTGCCTTCCTCCTCCTTCTCCATCTACTTCCCAGACGATGATGGATTCTCGCGTTCTTGTTGCCCTGCTTCTCGTCTCTTCCTTTCTCTGCACATCTGCCAAGGTGATGCTCTCGATTTCTCATGGCGCACCAATTCCGCGTGTCTCATCTGATCGCGTTCTCCTCGCTTTTGCGAGATTTGATCTGATGGTTGCTTGATCCGATTCGATTTCAGGCGGAAAGCAGCGGGACGGTTCTCTTCATCGATGGACAGCAACACCATTACCTTCGTTCTCCATCCACCAATGGTGGCGTCCAGGTTTGTTTGCTTATGTTCCCCTTTGCTTAGCGTGTTGGTAAATTCCCCCGAATAAACTTGATGCGTTGCCTGTTTGCGTTTGAATTAGAAACTAGGAAGCGTTTTGCGCTATTTGATGTCCGTAATCGACTTGTTTTGCCTGTACGTAGTGGTGATGGATTAGTGTTTACTAGAGATTTTAGGTGGATGAGAACTGTATTTCCTTGGGGACGCGTTTTTTATTTTATTTCATTGATTGATTCAGGCTTTCTTACTTTCGTGATAACACATTCTGCAGTCCCAGTCAATGTCGATTCCGGAAGTTGCAGATGCAGTGTCTGTTCTGCTTGGTTTTGCGCCATCCGCTACACTTTCAGCAGCTGGTTCAGCGAAGGTCAAGTGTTGATTAGCACTCTTATGATATTATTTAAAACACCCATTTCACCATGTGGTATTCACGGATTTTGAGCTGGTGTTGCAGTTGAATGGAGTTCTCAGTCCCAATCCATTTGATAGGCCTCGTGCTGTCTTCATGTTGGAAGTTACTGGAAGCAAAGGTATTGAAATTCTACGCACCATTCTTGATTCTCCGCTTTGCTGCTTTAGTATTGAAGCAAATTCTCTTACATGAAGCTCTTTCTCATGCAGGTATCTCAGCTATGGATAAGTACAGCCATGCTTTGCGGCGAAATACCGTTCTGGGTTCAGAACAAGCTCAAATTGAACTTCCAGGTTGGTGCCCTTTTCTAGTGTACTTCAATGATTTTTGAAGAAGTTAGATTGTTTGCTCCTCTCTCGTTGGATGATGGGAGAATGAATTATGATGACTACATGTCCTATGGTGTGAACCGTTATAGGTGGAGAAGTCTCTGTGGTTCATTTGGATGAAGGACTAGCAGATTTCACGGAGAAGGAAATAAATGATCTTGTTAGTGCCTAATTATTTCATCCTTTTTTCTTGAGGGGTTTGGTGTTGTCTTGTTGTGGAAATGAATGCTGTTATGAGTTGTGACGTTTCGGAGATTGTTTATATGCTAGGCATCTTTCTTGGGTGGATCATATGTTGCTGACACTTCACAAGCAATGAATGGAGACATTATGGGTATAACTTTGGCTAGTGGAACCATGAATCTTCACATGTCAAAGGTCTTACTCTTCATAAACCCTAAGCTTGTTTTATTCTGAGTTGGAGTAAGTAGTATGCTAACCTTCATTTCTTACAGGAAGCAGACAGGAAATATGTCGGAAGTCTATTGGCTCTGATGCGAAATAGCAAAAGGGCAAAATTGATGCATGAAGATCTATCACAAGGAACCCGGATGCCTGCAGAGCTAATAATTGGAAGCTTTGATGGCATTAAGGTGAGTTGTTGAAGCTGTGTTCTTTCCTCTTCTTTTTCTGAGAGTTTGTTCTGTATTCTTGAGCTGCAAATAGGAATTTTACAATTTGAACGATCTTTATGACTTGTTTTGCTTTTGTGTTTAGGCTTTGCGAGAGCAATATGGTACAGAAAGCATAGTACAGCAAGGGGAGGAGCTATTACTTAGCATGCTGTCTATGGTTCTTGATTCCTTGCAAGTAGCATACAAAGGTCTGTTGTACTGTTCTTGGTAAATCTCAGTGCAGTCAAATATTCACACTATATAGATCAGTGAACATCTTAATGGGATTCAAGAAAGCGCTAGAGAATCCTCATTTACCTATGTGATGTTTGAAATCCATTCAGCCCATTTGCGCCATGACTATCTCATTCTTCATAGAATCCTGGGTTCGATGGCTACGTAATGGGAAATGGGAAAATGTTATTTTATGAAGCAGGAGATGTCTCGTCCAAATAATAAATAAATAAATAAATAAAATAAAGCAGGAGATGGGAGATGTTGGTTGCAGTAGCCTGAACCATCATTTAACATACTTTTGCTAGACCTGCATGATGAAACTTTCTTCAGAATATGTTGTCCCCAGTGTCATTATTGTGACCCGGCATGTTGGTGGCTCTTCAAGTTAGTCGTAATTGACAAATTGTTTATTTTTCACAGGTAAACTTGTTGCGGTTGTTTCCTTCGAGCCAGAATCGGAAACAAAGTTGGATGTGGTGCTGACCGATTATCCATCTGCTCGTTTGTTGGTTGAAACCAATGTATCACCTGTTTTCAATACCACCATTTTGGAAGTGGCCCTGGTCAGAACGACCCTGGCTTGGTTGACAGGAATCATTCTTCTCGTTTCTACTCTTATCGGGGTAAGAATAATACGAGGCTTGTTTTCAATTTCCATTCAGATCTTTTTTATTTATTTACGAACCTGCATTTCTGTACTTGCATGGATGTTGTGCATCTATCTATGAGATGCATAAAGGGATCACTTTTCTCAGTGTGCCTAGATGCGCGAGTTCTACCTGCGAATTAGGGATTGGGATCAACTAGGGATTGATCCGGGGATTTAGGAAGGGAAAGGGGAATTGATTTGGGGGTTTGAGGAAGAGAAAAGGGGGGGAACAGGCTGCTGGTCGCCAGCAGCAAGAAGAAGGGAAGGAGGGGAGGGCTGCTGTCTCGTAGCCAAGGGGAGGGAGAGAGGAGAGTGGGTCGGCAGAAGGAGAGGAAAAGAGAGGGAGATTAGAGACTTTAGGTTTTAGGTTAATCTTTTCTTAACCATAAATCTCACTTACAAGTTGTTTATATAAAAATGGCTAATTCCCTATTACTACCCGATCTACCACTTATTCCCGAATAGTCCCAATAATCCGAATAATAATAAACCGACAAATAAACAAAGTACTAAAATGCAAGTTTCTATCATGCGCCCAGCAGTCGTTAGCCATAGTGATAATATTAACTGCTCGTATATTTTGTGCTCGTGCTTTGACAGGTCTGCATGCTTTTCAACATGCCACTGACGAAGGACACCCTTCTATACTCCAACGTCAAGCTCGACTAAGTTGGAACGACCAGACGCGTGGTCTGTGCAGGACGTAATAGGGGGCCAGTCTATTGCGGAGCAGGTTCACGAGTAGATTGTTTAGTTATCAGTGGTTATCTACGGTTTCTGTTAAACCCATACCAACCATACCTTGATTGTTGATCATATTGAATGTAATCATCGAAGCTGAAAGCTGCTGCTATGTTGGGGAGTAGGTTCCTGCACATGCTGGCCGATTTGGAGTTCTCTGTATTCTGTAATCCTAAACAAGAATAGACATGAGCTGAAAGTTGTATTCAGGATTGTTGTGCGCTGTTGAATAAGTCGATATCTTGTTTAAGCTCAAGTCCATTTAATGTGTTTGTCATATTTGTGATTTTGTAGCAATACTGAGAACTGGGAAGTTTTTTTTTTACTGTGTAATAATATTCTTCTACAGTTTTGGATGACGAGTTTGTAGTGTATTATCCTCTATTGGTAATCGTTTTAATCGCTAGCATTTGTTCAACATTTTTATGAGAGGATACTAATGACTAGGAAACTATAAGAGAGCACGCCCGCACGTATATTCCGGGCCGTGAGTTTAATTTGTATGGGCTTTAAAGAGCCCATAAAAGAATCCGAGTCTGGGTCTCGGCCCTCGTGGATCGACTGAAGCTTCCCGCCACCTATCAGAAGGAGAAGAGATTGGCTGGAATCCGAATCCCTCAACTTTTCAAATGAGTGGATCTCCTCTTTCTTCTTCTACCTTCTATCGCTCTTCGTATCTACCCATCCTTCCTTCATCTACAGCTCAGTCAGTTCTCGATTCAAATGGGCTCTCCAATGTCATCATATTTTCTCATCCTTCTGAATCCTCCGCTTTCAATCATCCAACGCCACAAGCCGCCCAACGCTCTTCCTCTTCTCGCGCTCTACTCCAAGTCCTCCTTGCTCCACAAGACTCACGTCTGCCATGCTCGCTCCTCAATCTCGTCCTCTTCTGGTTCCGATCGCGAGGAGCTTCTCTGGCTCCGCGAGGAGCAGCGGTGGCTGCGCGAGGAGCAGCGGTGGCTCCGGGAAGAGCAGAGGTGGCTTCGCGAGCGGGAGTCGCTGTTGAGCGAAATTCAGTCGCTGAAGCTCCAAATCCAGGTTTTAGAGAAGAGGATTACGGTTGCCGGAGATGATGCGGTGCCGGCGAATGTCGGTGCGTTGCTGCAGGTTTTGAAGGAGCGGAGTTTGATTCTGGAGAGCGCGTCGAGTGCGACCCCGATTGAACTGGTGGAGACGGTGGAAGAGGAGGCGGAGGCGGCTCGTGTTATGGAGGTGAAAAACGAGGAGACGGCGGCGGTAGGGAGCGCTCGTGTTGTGGAGGTGGAGAATGAGGAGACGAAGCTTAGGAGGAAGAAGAAAGCATTGAGAGCAGGAAGCGAAGGAGAGGAGGTTCGAGAGATGCAGGTGTGCTCGCAATAATACATCATCATGCATTTCTTCTTGGAATAGCCAAGGCGAGTTGTTCGTTTTTTTTCTTCTTCTTCCATTTCTATGGCTTTTCATGTGAATCCGTTTGAGCAACCTGTAATAGTGAATTTGCGGTTCCAATTTTCTGCTGAGATCTGGTCTGTTGCAGGAAGCATTGCAAAAACTGGGGTTTTACTCAGGGGAGGAGGATATGGAGTTCTCCAGTTTCTCATCTGGGACTGAGCTTGCTGTCAAGACATGGCAAGTAAGTCTAGAATCAACTTTTGCTTAATGGTATCGACGATCTTCTTTGCGGATACTCATTGAATGAACTCTTTTAGTAAAGATCGGAAGTAGTAATGTAGTGATCGAACCTTGGCAGGCAACATTAGGTGCTCCAGAAGATGGAAATATGAGCGCAGAACTGCTCGAGAGGCTGTATTTGGAGACAAGGACTGACCTTCCGTTGAAGGTATCCTCGTTGTAGCACTCGAACCATTCTGTCACAATTGCTGCTGCCCTAAGTAGGCTTCCACATATCTTTCTTGCTTCAAAGACCATGTTTGGTAATCAGGGTGCTGTTTAGGCATCTCCCCTCTTAGGCACATAGTAGCTCGGATGCATTTAAGAGCACCTTTTAGGTATTCAAAATTGCCTGATATACATGAAGGGTAGAAGATTCAGCAAGCGTCAGGTTTCACATATATGCAGTATGCATATACAAAAGATTTCCATGTCGATCGGGCACTTGGAAAGCAGTAGCTACTGGTTACAACATGCTGCTAACTCTGCTGGAAGTTCTTAACAGGGTGATATCAATGGTGCTGCTGTTGCTCCCATGACTGAACTGTCCAAAATCCACCAGAAAGTTGTGAAGGAAGAGGGTGCGACTTCAGTCGAGGCATCTCATCACCGAGTGTTTCTCCTTGGTGAGAATAGGTGGGAGGAACCATCGCGGCTTGTTAGCAGATATAAAGAAGACACTGCAAATTGGGGTACAAGGACCACACAGTGCCGCGCCTGTCGAGGCACAGGCCGTGTGATGTGCACAGGTACTTGCTTTCTCTCGTTATTGCCTTGTACTAAACATCACTTTGAAGATGCTCCATCAATATTGGAAATAGTGGTTCGTCGTGTAAATTACGTGTTCTCCTCTGCTGCAGAATGTGATGGAACAGGGGAACCGAATATTGAACCGCAGGTAAACAAGGTTTCAGATGTTGCAACCATTTTTCTGTTATTGTTAATTACACCTCCATTGCTGAGATCTCTGTAATTTCCACCTGGGGATGCAGTTTCTGGAATGGATAGGCGAAGACACCAAGTGTGCATATTGCGACGGCGGGTTTATAACTTGTGATGTATGTGACGGCAAAGCAGTTTCCTAGGTACGTTATTCTGCACTGGTATCAGTTTTCGGACAGAGAGAGTAGCCGGAAGAGAGGATATACAGAAGCCAAATCGTTCACATGTAATAAGTAATTCTTGCAAGTCTTATGAATGGACAATTATGCATCCATTTTATTGCAAGTTCGAACTTCGAACAATACGAAACAGTTCTTCTCATTTATTCCAAATAACGTAGAACAAACAACCATCGCAACACTGACTAAATAGTTCAGACTTTTCTACCAGTCCTAGTTACAGCGTGCTACCAAGAAGCGTAGAAGTGTACAGTACATCTAGAGATTTCTCCCTAATCCGACCACCTGAGAGGGTCTGGCAGAAGCAAGCATATCGTTTCATCAGCATCGAATGCAACTCTCCAAATGAATGATTCGCTCCCTCCGCTCAAATCTTTTACATGGTATAACTATTTACAGATTCGTCTTCGGTTTCTTAGCACCTTCAACACGCCTACTAACTGATCGCATTGTGACGAATTCTTCGGCAGCCGAAGGGTGTATTCCAACCTGTTGCATGCAACCCAACCACATTATACCCCGTTTTAACCATGTACATACAGCGATAATCTTTTTCCTGTACAAGACTAAGATTGGCTTGCACCACTAACAGTGGCTTCGAATTGGAACCATCATCCTTCAAGTGCCAAGATGCAATAAAACATAGACTCATGCTCGAAAGAAATGACTCACCGTGCTGTCAAACTGTGCCTTTGTCGCTCCACACTTAATCGCAATAGCAATGCCCTGTCAAGCAAAGAAGGTAGCGAAAACCAACGATTTCAGCAAATACAAGAATGCCTGCACGCAAACTTCACTAAGCTGGATACTCATGCAAATGCCTGACATTCAGATGTTCTGTAGAATCTACTCGACATGGAAATACAGGGAACGAAGAAAGAAAAACAGGACAATGTGCTAACAGACAGGAGAGAATGAGTCGGAAATCTAAAAGCAAACGGGAAAAAGTATGTACCTGCATGATTTCAGCTGCATCTGGCCCACACATGGAAGCTCCCAAGACCTTGTCAGTGGTAGCATCAACAACAAGCTTCATGACTGTCTTCTCTTGTCGTCTGTCACCAATGAGTGACGAAATTATGTGAGCGCAGTGGTCAAACATGCACTGGGACGACTATAAAGATCACCTTAAACTCAAACTAAAAAGACAGTTGATTTTAGTAGTCCTCCTTGCTCGGTGACCATAAAACTAGAACTAGTAATTTCACTGCTACAACCGCTATGGTCATACGACAAGCTGAAAACATCTAACTCGGTTGAAGTTGCCAACCTTTTCCTCCTTAACAATGCAACATAATTTGAGACAGTAGGCAGAGATGAATAGTCGACAACCATTCATACATATATATAACTGAGATATTGAAGTTCTAGAATATAATGTTTCTCGTCTTCATCCTCTAAAGCCAAACAAGTTAACAAGACAACACGAGCATTATGCATACCCGGATATGGTATTCCTCATAGGATTGAAACTTGAAGTGAAAACTAATATATCACCATTTGCTTGTTCAATTGCTTGCTCTTCACTCAGGCCAACAACAGAAAGGGGCGGTATGCTGTCAAGTAGCAAATCATATGTTACCACAAGCAATGGGCATAAAAGCCAGATTTACAAAAGATACAAGCTGCAAGTCTTTACCAGAACACAGCACATGGAATATGGTCATAGTCCGGTTTAGTAGGTTCCCCTCCGAAAACAGTTTTCTGCAAGCAACATAAAAATGATTCAGAGAAGATTAATGAATAAAAGTGGCTATTGATATTCTTTTCTTCCAAGCACCAAAGGGCAGACAGAATACGTAAATATATGTCATCAGATTAACCAATAAGTTACAAGTGTAGGATGAAAAAGTGTAGACAGACACATACTGCAAAACATGTTCCCTCCATCAAGGCAACAGGTGTAAGATTCATTCGATTTGTTACATCACCGATGGCCCATATGCTAGGTATGTTTGTCTGTGAGTGCTCATTGACCTGGAAAACCGAGTTGACGAAGAACTTAGTACTTCAATCAGTAACGGATCTAAATATCTAAACGACACTATTTTGCATGAAAACGAGAGTTGCGTAAACAACATCACTTTACAAAGAATAATATGTTTATAAAGGACAGCAAGACATAATTACCACCAGCAAGTACTTAAGCAGAGACAAAAAAAAAAAAAAAAAAAAACTGTACAAATCAACCCAAACAACACAGGATATAGGAGACCATGTAGTGTATCTCTATATTACCATTGAGGGAAATTTTAACTATCCAGAGTCAGGATAGAAGACAGGATTCGTATAGCTAATAAAGAACGCATTACTGACCTTGATAGCTCCCATTTTGTCAACCTCAACACCTACAGCTTCTAAATTTAATCTTTTTGAATTTGGGACCCTTCCTGTAAGAAATGGAATGGAAGAAAAGATTTAATGAACAAAAGACTATTCTATCTCTATTTTCACAGTAAAGAATAAAATTTTGGATAATTCCCACATTTTCCAACAGACAACAATAGCAGTATGGTTATATCTAAAGCCCATTAGAATGATTTTGGGAGATTTATGGAAAGAGCACCATGAATTATGAAATTATGTTGAAATAGTAGAGTTGGACTGTTAGAACTATATCAGAAATATATTCTTAGGTACACTGCAATGCATGGAATTACAAGAAATGAATGTGGATCTAATTAATGCAGCTGTAACTGTAAGTTGTCACAAGAAACGTAAGCTTCGGCAATCAAGCACGAAAATTACCCGTAGCAAAGAGTACCACATCTGCGACCAATTCTTCTCCGTGATCTGTTCGAACTTTTATTCCATCTTCAGTTTTTACCAACTGGAATTAAGAAAATGATAAGCAGGTTACATTTCACGTGATTGTGATAGTAAACAAAGACCATCAACAAATTTTAGATGCATAAGGTGGCACATGAAAAATAAAATAATTGATTCCACGTTGATACTAATCCTAATCAAAGAGTACCTCGGTCAGACTTGTTCTTGCATGCATATTGACCCCTCTTCCCTCAAGATTTCTTGCAACTACTGCTCTCATTTCATCATCAAAACCTCTGCATTGATAATATACATTTGTTAGAAGAATTACGACACAGAAATTATCATTTTAGCATGACAAGCACAGACAGTAAATATCTTTATGTCCACAAGCTTCTTGTTAAGCAATGGTGATTAAAAATGGAACAAGATATTCAAATTCTCAGGATTGAAGTTCTTTGGCTTTGGACTGTTCTCGGAAATAGTAAGGAGTCATGGATAAAGAGAATTACTTCTCTTATAAGAATAGATAGATTGATTCTTAAGAGATAAATCAACAGTAACATCATAGCATGAAAGAGACTTATGGTGCTTCCACATTTAAAAGTTCGCCTTTCTTTTCAGGGAGAAACACCACAAGATTTAATAATTTTAGAAGCATAAATACTACCAAACGTTCCTAAGGGGAGGCACAATCCACTTCCCGTTTTTGTATAGACAAAATTTATTACAACTTTGACATTTTGGCTTCAGTTTAACCTTATTGTTAAACTATCCATTCCACTAAAAGTACATTAATATGGAAAGCAAGCACTTCTCACCACCAACATAAAACCAACAGGTAAGCATAGATCATAACCTCAATGGAAGTTCCTTTCTGAAAAAGAGATCCACAGAAGCACCCATTCCACGCCAAATAGAAGCAAACTCCACAGCAATGTACCTTAGCATCGAAAGGAATAGCCATCAATACCCAGTTACGATCTTACTAAAAAAATCTTTAAAACTAACAAAATAAAGTTCTTTTTACCCTCCTCCAAGCACTATGGCACTTTTAGGCATTTCTTCCAAGCTCAAGGCCTCGTCAGAAGTTATAGCCAGCTCCTAGATGATAAAAAGGGAAACTATGTCAAGCAAGAAATAGCAAAACCTCGGAGTGAGAAAATTCTTGAAATGAAAAAACAGAGAATTCCAACCAAACCCAGTAGAAAGAAGCAATAAAATAAACAAAATTTAGTCAGCACATAGATATGTAAGTTTGTAGGCAGCTGGTCAAAGGAAATCAAATCACCTGTCCTGGAATATCAGGGCGCTGCGCCCTACTTCCCGTGGCAATCAGTATATGTTTTGCCGAGTAGCGCAATTTAGTTCCATCTAACTGAGTAACTTCAACTTCATTGGGACCAGAAATTCTTCCCTCGCCTTCATACAATTTAACACCGGCATTGGACAACAACCTCTTGTAAATTCCATTCAATCTGAGTATTTCATCGGTCTGCAGATGCAAATGTAAACTGGCCGCAATGAATGACGGTACAGGCCACGTAGTTAATGTAAAAAATATATAATAGTGTACTGACCTTCTTCTTCAACAGCTTTTTCCAGTTGAAATCCAGGTTTTCATTCAGTTCCCATCCGTAATTCCTTGCATCCTTCAAGAAGATTCAAAATACAAGCATCGACTATCTATCATCAACAATTGTTGCTATATCTTGAAAAACGCAATATATTATCATCATAACTCAAAACTGATCTCAGTATTTCAAAAATGTCCAGCATTCCTGCCGCCCAACAGTTGAAAAGCATTCCATTGATAATTTACAAACTTGAGGGCACTGTTGAGTCTACAAAATCTTTCTACATGAAGACAATTACACAGCTGCCTCTAAATATCCTTCTACACATACTAAAGACGCACTTCATGTGCATCTACACAAGACGCTGAATGCATTGAACTAATTTCAAGAGATCATCAACATCAACTCAAATTCGTCATTCCAGAAGGTGTTGCAAACTCACCTCAAGTTCACCACCAAAAGATGCTCCATACACCAAGATCTTCTTGGGAACACAACCACGAATAACACACCTACAAGAAAGAGCGGGGGAAACCTCGCTGATAAGATCAGCAGAAGCTATACCAAGAAAGCATAACTAGCAGTTCCAGAAAACCTACGTTCCACCGACCCCTCCAATCACTTCCGAGCTGATGGGATGAAATGGAAGCTCACATATGCCAACCTTGAAAAATGAGATTGAGCATTAGCAGCGTGTAATCGGGCATTAATCTACGCAGCTTACAGATCCAGACAAAGGCAAGAATAGAAATCCTAGTGGATAGCGTCTCCATAGCATTACAGACCGTCCAACGGTGAACTATGAAATCAAGAAGCTAATTATAGTAGCCAATGAGCCATTTACATAAGGAGGTGTTCCATTGCAGGATCGCTATCTTCCAGCCAGAACCTACTCAGCTCGAGTATACTATTCTTCCATCCAACATGATCAAAAGGAGCAAAATGAAGCACAAAGAAAACACCGCCTACCTTCTTAGCTCCAAAATTAGTAGCGAATCTGGAAGCACGAACGCCGCCGCTGCCAGCTCCGATGACGAACAAGTCGAAATCAAAGTGAGCCTCCTCGGCCTCGTTGGTCTGGCTCAGCTCCCCGTCGATAAGCATCTTCCTCGCCATGATCTCGATGTACTACTGATCACGAGAAAAACGAACGAAAGATAAGATAGGAACACTTCTCCCGATTTCCTGGAAACGACAAAACTCGGCATCACGAGCTAGGCAACAATGTAGGGAACTTACCTCGTGTAAACTACTACAGCGAAGCGATCTGGCAAGACGACGAAGCGCGGCAGAGAGACGGACTACGGGATTAGGGTTTAAGGAGAGTAGAAGAAAGTGGTGAAATGAATTCAAACTTAAAAAATGCTGGCTGGGCTATGTATCTGTATGTATGAATGTGATTTGCAGAGCTCCACGATTAGAAGGCGAAACACCGTGAGCCGCCAGCAAACTGATAGAGAGCAAAAGTTGCAAATTCAGATATTTTGCAGTAGCGGTCCTCCCACACGGCTTTATTTGTAGAACAAGTCCCCCACGTGACGTGAGGCATTACACAAGCCGGTTTGGTCCGTCCGGTCCGTGCCCTGTCCAGATCAAAACCGGGTGAGCAACTTCTCACCTTAACAGCCTGTTTGGATAGAATTCCAAAGGAATTAGAAATGGCTTAATTGCAAGTTTGGTCACTCGAATTGCTATAAAATTTCACGTTTGCCACTCAAATTAATTTATTCCATTTATAGTCACTCGAATTAGTTGAACAGTTCAAGTTCGGTCACTCTCCGTTAACCTCCGTTAACTTTGACTGACGTGGCGGTCAACTCTGACAGTTGACCGTTAAATGTGTGATGTGGCAAATAAAAAATAATTAAAAATAAAATAAAATTTTTAAAAATTACACATCATTATTAAAAAAAAATTATAATTATAAAAATAAAAAAAAAGAATGATGTGTTTCCCCCCCTTTTTTTCTTTTCAGTTCCTCTCCTTGCCGGATTCAGACCCATTTTGGATTAGTGTACAGAGATTTTGCTGCCAAACTTCTTGTTTAACCCTTTTGGATTGTGGGTTTTCCAGGTACTCCTATCCTCCTCTGTCTCTGCTGCATTATTGTCTCCCCGCCAATCCGCCATGGATCTAGCTTCCTTTCACTTCTAACTTCTCGCCCTTCATTTTCCATATCCGAGTTTATTTGTTAGTTTCAATCCGGAGGAAAATCTTGAATCCGAACCACCGATTTGGCGATTACCGTTCGGCCGACATTGTGCTTTTGCTTTCTCTGAATTTTTGTTTTGTTTTGCTGTATTGCATTCAGCCGAGGTGAGATTGCCGCGGTTCGAGATCTCGAATCAGGAACCTGCTGCTGCTGCTGCGATGACCACGGCCAACGGCGGCGAGGTTCGCTCTTCCGCGGCCAACGGCGGAACCAAGCCGTTCAAGATCTTCGTCGGCTACGATCCGCGCGAAGATCTCGCGTACAAGGTCTGCCGGCACTCCATCCTCAAGAGATCTTCAATCCCCGTCGAGATCCATCCGATCATCCAGTCCGACCTCCGGAAGGGCGGCCTGTACTGTCGAACCGCGGCAATCTCACCTCGGCTGAATGCAATACAGCAAAACAAAACAAAAAGTCAGAGAAAGCAAAAGCACAATGTCGGCCGAACGGTAATCGCCAAATCGGTGGTTCGGATTCAAGATTTTCCTCCGGATTGAAACTAACAAATAAACTCGGATATGGAAAATGAAGGGCGAGAAGTTAGAAGTGAAAGGAAGCTAGATCCATGGCGGATTGGCGGGGAGACAATAATGCAGCAGAGACAGAGGAGGATAGGAGTACCTGGAGAAGCGGAATGATCTGTAATTTTTAAAAATTTAATTTTTATTTTTTAATTATTTTTTATTTGCCACGTCACACATTTAACGGTCAACTGTCAGAGTTGACTGCCACGTCAGTCAAAGTTAACGGAGGTTAACGGAGAGTGACCGAACTTGAACTGTTCAACTAATTCGAGTGACTATAAATGGAATAAATTAATTTGAGTGGCAAACGTGAAATTTTATAGCAATTCGAGTGACCAAACTTGCAATTAAGCCAATTAGAAATAGAATTTCATTTCCATTTCTAATATTTTTGGAATTCCAATTCAAATTCTTGTGTTTGGTACAATTCCATCAATATAGGAAATGAATTATATTTTTTTGTGCAAGTTATATTTATAAGTAAAAGTTATGAGTTGTGGGTCCCATAAAGTTCCTGCTTGAGAGAGAAAAGAAACGAAATTGCAAGCTTTTTGGGACTTAAACATCATTAAAGCAGTGGGTCCCATAAATTCCTATGCTTTTGTGGGCAAGTCCGACCAATTTCAGTCGGATTTCAATTTCCAGATTTTTGGCAGAAATGATTTCCACTTCCAACTAAATTTACCATCCAAACATAAGAATTGATTCAAAAGTAGGAAATGGAATTCCATTTCCCATAAATTTTATGGTTCCAAACAGGCTGTAAGCTGTACTGACAACAGTCACGTTACTGTGCATGTTCTTCTGCACAAACAACTCCAAGTAAAGATGACAATTGAATTGAACCGAACCAAGGGTGTTAATCCAGTCCAATCTTATCAAAATGGGTAAAATTTAGTGTCAATGGTTTTTATCCATTTTTAAATTTTTTGGATTGGATCGAGTTTGAGTTTTACCCAAACTCAATATTCATTTCACACCGGCTCACACTAATAAGTAAAACAACATCATTTTGTATATAGCTGGAACAATATATGAATTTATAAATGTTATTAGTCTTTATAAACCTAATAGTAAGAATCTTTAGCAAACTTTATGCAAATATATTTGTAAAAAAAATTTCGATGACAAATACACTCATAAGTACCCGTTGGATTTTCACTTCTAAAATGCAATTGATCTTAGACCGTGTGGGTGCACAGTGCACTGCTTAATTGGATTTAGAAAAACACAGACCTATTATCATCTCCAAACTCAAAGGAATCCCTATTTTATGCGTATAATAATCATTGCCAAAAGATCTATGCGAATGCATATATCTTCCTCTGCCATTTCGATTTTATATTCCTCAAAGTACAAAACGGGTGAACGTGTTTGGCCTGCTTTTCCTCATCTGAATCGCAGCCCAGCCCAGCCCAGCCAAGAAACCAAATTTGACTTTGCCCAACTTCTTTTTATACTGGAACCTTTCCTTTTTAACTTTCAGCTGGCTGTATCTGGATGGAAACTCGTACCGGGTGGACGACTGAGACGTGGTCCATTTCCCTCCTTGGCTTTTGTTAGCTTTGGGATGGTGGCCCTTTCCCCACTTTTGCAGTCGGTAGGCAAATTTTTCCAGAACTGGTCGTCATCACATGGACAAACCTAACCAATAACCATTATTGGTGTCTGCTGGGAGCAAACGTTTTGTGATTGAGCTCATCCAGCTCTCACGACACACAATTAGAAACCGACAATCCAAGATTGCTGGATACATACCCGTGCGGTTTCGTACAGAGTCGGCATATCGTCCGATGGTCTGCAGTGTAGAGCAGTTCGACGTTAAGTTGATCGATCGGCGCGCATCATGACTAACGGAATGTTTCGGAGGAAAAAAACCACACTACGCATCAATCACGTTACAAGAATTGTTCAACGGGACGTTTAAGCCGTTGAATGACCACGACCTGCGACATAAGTCTCCTTTCATTTCCGCAACTTGCAATGACCCAAGCTGACAGAGGTACAAACACAGGCATACGAGTCTCGACTGATACTTTCGTCGACTGGTGGGACATCACATTCTGGGGGAAGGGAAGTTATTCTCAGTGTGTACCGATTCGATCCGGTGAGGGGAAAAGTGGAAACAAGACGACTCCTATGTATAGTTCTGTATTAAAAAATAAGCTGACAGCCTACTTATTGCATCACGTTTCAGTCATTCCCAAGTTTTGGGAAGGTGAGATTCAGAGAACAACAGATTCTTTACTTTACAGAGAAAGAAGAAAATGGAGGTAACTTACAGGTGATCTTCTGTATATATATATAGTATTAATCAATCAGCAGGAACAGTTGAAGACGGAGTTCCCAAAGCACTTAGCCTTGGTCGCGATCCTTCTCACACCGCTTTCGTTCTGCGAGAATCTCGCGCTAGGAGACAGCATCAGTCTCTCCATTATATTTACCTTCGGGGCGTCGAGGATGGCCTTGGGGAGCGACAGTGCCCATTGCATTCCCCAGATCGAAAGTGGCCTCATGTAGACGAGAGACCGGTAGTGTCCGTCCATGGTCCACCCTTCTGGAGTTTGGAACCAGTACCTGGCATTTCGAACAAGAAGACATGTCAGTAGAGTCTCAACAGACGCCATAAAGCCTTCTCGCTCGAGGCATGACAGCTGATTTAGTTACCAACTCACCCGTAGCCCTCCTCCGACCATCCAGCAGTGAAAATGCCTTCGGCAGTGGCAAAGGCCTTGTCCTCCATCCCGGCAAGGATCATCGTAGCAGCCACCCCGTACGTGACACCTGTCCATACTTCGCGAGACTGCATACACGTCTCGTCCACCTTTCCATTGGGATGCATCCCATTCACGGCTCCAATCTTGCCACCTTTGACTCTCATCACATTGAAATCGTATACCTTCTGCAGAGAACTCTTGATTTTGAGGTCGTCGAAAAGTGGAGGCAATCCCGAAGATGCAGTGTACCATTGCCCAGCTAGCTGATCCGCTTGTATAGACTTGCTGTTGCTACTGGACCCGCTGTCGTAGTTGAAGTACGAACCATTCCATAGTTTCGATTCGTAAGCCACTTTCGCCTTCACAAATTTGCTCTTGCAGAGCTCCGCAAAATATTTGTCGCCTAGTTGAAGAGCCATCGCAGCTGCAGCTTGAAGAGCAGCAAGCCATAGGCCACCACAGTAGGCACTGACTCCGTGGACGGTCCACGTGTCATAAGTCTGATCTGGGAACCCGTCGTTCTCAATGAGACCATCATCATCTCTGTCGAATTGTTCCATGTATTCCATGGCGGTGCGAACTGCAGGCCACACATCAACTCCAAAACCCATGTCCCCGGTTGCAGCAAAGTCCCTGTATACCTGAAGCACAAACTTCGGGTTGAGATCCTTCCACTTGCTCGTATCGTGAATGTTGTAGGCGTTCATCTCATTCCATGGATCATGAGTTCCAAGGTCATGTGGGATGGCACCTCTGACCTTACGAATCCCAACATTACCCTCTGCCAAAAACTTGACCTTCCTTCCATCCTCGCATAACACGGCTTTAGCAAACTCCCGCTGAATACTGAGTTCGATCTTGGGGAAAAGCTCCAAGAGTGCAAATGATGCATAGAAATGCACATCATATGTGCACCACATTATGTATTCAACTCCTTCCAAGTAGAGAAACCTGCCTACGTTGTCACTGTCGATAAACGGGTCTGGTACTGCAAGAGGATGTAACGAATGGTTGGGCTCTCTTTTGTCTTGAACTCCTTGGGAAGCATTCTCTTCATGAGATGACTCGTCACTTTCGTCTGAGCTATTAGCACTACTATGAGCACTAACGCTATCAACTGTGGTACGCTCAATATTCTCTCCATCGGCCCCGACTTGGGCTTCAATCACACTGGCATCTGGGCCTTCTTCATGAGTTAGCTTTTGACGACGACCATTTGCCATACGTTCTGGCAGGGTGGAGTCTGAAAAGAAAAGGCACGCCAGTATAGTTGTCATGCTCTTGAGATTTATGTTCAAGAGAAAGAATTCAAATTACACAGGAAGATGTGCTATGGAGAACTACATTACAAGTCTTTAGATTACTTATTGTTGCTTATATTATGAGCCAAACCAGTAGCAGCAGCCCAAATGTCCGGCACAAATTTCTATAAAGTTGGGTGAAAAATATAATTGTAATGAATACATACCGATCCAAACTGTTCCACCAGCCACCAAAAAGTAGAGCTCATTAAACAAAGTGAATTTATACCTGTAAAGGAAATTGTTCAGCAAGATAAAACTAGCGGGAGACATATATGCACAAAAGCACATATGAGCAAACGATCAAACTATCTAAGGGTATCTAAGTCTGCAGAAATGAGGTTACTAGACAAGACAGATCATGGCGGCAGCCTACTTGGTTCTCTGATGTTTGTTTTAGCAATTCACATAGAGCCTGGAAGGGTCGTTTGGAGATGTGAATTAACTAATGGAATTGGCTTTAAATTCACTGTGCTGCCAGACTTCAAAAAATCTTCCATCTAGATGGACACCAAATGAAGGCCAGACGGCAAATCTCGAAGCTCCTAAATCTATTTTCTCAGATACCTCTATCAAAGGAATGATTTGTCAAATGCACCCATTTTTCCTGTAAACTACTAACTCATGAACCCATTTTACAACCACTTCCCTATCACTAACCATCCAAACAAAGCCTTCAAAAATCTATCATGGGTCACAATCCACCCATTTCGACACTCAAAATTCACCCATATAAGTTTTAAATCATTGAAGAGACCAATTGAAGTAAAACTGTGGCTAGAAATCCAATTGTATAAATTTGACATGTACTTAACCATCTACAGGTTGGGCAATTGCCAGCATCAAAAACAGATAAGACATGTAATTACCATTCTGGTAGTCTTTCATCCCTAAGGATAGGATTTTGCCACTTCTCAATCTCCTCTTCCCAATTTTTGTAGTCTGGTCAAGAAAAAGTTCAGATTGTTCGATTAGATGCAAATGCAGAACCAGGAGGATTCTCAACCCAAAGGGCCATAAACAGAATACACCAGTATGTTCAAACAGATACAAGAGGCCATTTATTGACAACTATACATACTTGTCAATGCATCATGAACCAATTTCTGTGCCGCTCTTTCAGAAGTACCATAGAACTTGGTGTATCTCCTGCAATGAGAATGATGTCCCCAAATTACAATCAATTGGCATCAGAAATATTCTATAGAGATAGAAGCAAGAACCTAAATTTCACTTTTGTAGGCATTGGCACTGAACAGAATTGATTGGGAGATAAGATATTAACAGTGGACATTGGCACTGAACAGAATTGATTACCTGTTGTAGGAGCTCCCCTTCTTAAATTTCACTTTTGGAGATGACCAAGCGAGAGAAAATGCTACTGTGCATTTCCCATGAGGTTCAACCCACGTTGAAGCTGAAACTGCAGCACACAGCGTCTCTCCAACTGATGAAGGCATGCTCGGTCCACAATTGAAATTCTCCCTATTAAATTGCCCCTCCTTCAGGTGAGCAGAACAAAGATGGATTAGTCAAACAGCGATAACTGACATCAAAAGGAAACTATAACAACACCATCCTGGTATTTCATTCCTGAAACAACGATGACACAGAAGAACCTCACTCCGTACTGTATTTTTCACTTCACAACTGAGGTAAATATCTCTAGAAACAGTGGAATGAGAATTAATCTATTTCAGTTGTTACCTTCACCATCTGAGCCCACATATCCTTTGCAGTGGCGTAGCTTCCTTCAGACAACCCAAAGCATGGCAGGACAGTCACATTTACATTCTGTGTCTCACATGCACCGATAGCAAATGTAACAGGAGGATTTCCCTTTGCGGTCCTGAAAATTGTCATTAACAGTTGTAATACTATTCTAGTTGATAGATCAACAGAATGGATAAAAAAAAAAAAATAAATAAGAAGACCCAATTGAGAAGGAAAGACAACCGCGACAGGACATCAGAATATCAGATAGGCTAGTGGCATGTAGGACATAAGTTAAAGGAAGGCGATAGGGAATACGATGTAGGGCAAGGAAATAATAGGTTTGAAAAAAAATGTACATACACCAATTTCCCTAATATGTGTAACAGTTCTCTTGTGCTTCTTTATTTCTACTTCTACTTCAACTTCAACTTCTCCCTCTTACTCTTTTTCTCCTTCTAGAGCCAAAAAACACTAGGATTGATATTTGATAGTATGACAAGCTGTTCTTGATAAATAACTGTTCACTTCTGCCTACCAATGATTGCAGATAACCCTTTTTCGTATTGATTATTACTCTTATGATGGATTATTAACTGAAACTAACAACTAACTAGTCATTTCGCCCCTTGGAAGAAGGTTATCTACTTCATTTCTGGTCATCTCGTAAAACACTGAAACAACCAGGAGAAATATGCAAACCAACCGTCATATATAGCTATTAAGAGAAGGTTTGATGACTTGCTTGTGATGTAGAAGTACACCAGAGACTCCGTCTTCGCCTCTGAGAGAAAAAAAAGGAATAAATTGAGTCTAGCAGGAAAATAAAACCCAAGGATGTCTTTGACAAATGTGTTGTTAGTAAGCAAAGCAAAGAACTCGCCACATATACATACACAAATGGTTCATTAATGTGATCTCCAGACAAGTGCGAGACACCTCCAATTGAATTCTGCGTAAGAAACAAGGAAAATAACTTGCAGGTGAGGGGTCTAGATCTTCAGATCATGCTGGGTAGAACAACTTACAAAATGTACAATAATCTAAAGGGGGGACAAGCTTACCGCCCAGGTGAAGAGCAGGCTAACTTTTGCTCTTTCTTTGCCAGTGTTGACCAACTATGAAGAATGACAAAAGCATCAGCTACCACATGAAGTAATCAAACTGGTGCCTCAAGGACAAAATCTTAATCCAGATGCCACTTGGAGAATCTATTATCCTCACTGTAATCCGAACAAGGTACTAAGACCTTTCTTGTTCTAATTCTAGAAAGTCCTGAAACATGAATTCTTTCATTTAAATACATCCTAGATGTTGAATACACATACCGTGTATACAAATACGGCGGCAGGAAGACTACTTTCTCTATAATTATGTGGTATAAATGGTGAAATTTGCCTGCATGAGATTTTCAAATCCGGGTCTGGTTCACCTATAAATACAAACACATTAACATTAATGTAATTCTTGAAAATGAACATTATTTCCTGCTAATGGAATTGAAACAGCAAGCTAACCATCATATATTGTCCAAGCCCTTGGGAACAGTGCATGATATGTTGAATGCTGGCCACTTAAGTTCCAGTCCCATGAGGATATACCAGGATCACCAGCTTTCCTGGGGAAAAAAATTGACCAGAATCATGGTAGGATACCAACTTGCTAGCCTAATATGTTATTACAAAATAAACACTTCCGGCACAATGATCAAATATTTTGTTTGTGCAACTGCTTACCCTATACCCTCTTGCTGCCCAGGAGCCAAGACTGATGCATAGCTTTTATTTCCTCCATCCCGAGAAACAAAAATCTACAGTAATGGAAAACCAAACATTGAGATGATATAACGTCAAAACGAAACATATGGTCAGCCCAGAAGTTCTTGGTGCAAACTCCTTTGTCTAAAAGGCCAAAGTGCCTAGTGCATCACGATCTGTATAGAACACAGTATCAACTTGTACACTATGGCATCTTCGCAATCAAGTTATTGATGCAATACCATTCAAACTGCACCTAGAGACCATAATTTTCTTTGTGGATGCTCATTGCGTTCACTTCTTGGAATTCATCCTAACAAAAAAATTGAAGACTTCCTGAGAGTATCATTGTTGGCGCACTACATTCAGCCTCTGTCAAAAGCAGCAGACTCTACTAGCTAACAAAGCTTTAGTACATTTTAAATAATCTACAGCTATGTGGTGGTTTGAGCTCATGATTCTTCAAATATGCAGATTTCTAGAATGCAAAGGATTTAAAATAGAGGTTACATGACTTAGTTGATAGGAAGAATACACTATTTGGAATGTGTGATTACGGGGTGCTAAAAAGAAAGAGTGAAAAAATAAATTGCAGTTGAAATGTCAGATTTTGAGACCTGAGATTTCAAAAGAATGAAATCGAGCATCTCATTGGTGAGTAAATACTATCTGAACTGCATGAATTCTCATAAGTCATAACATATCCAAATCCTAATGATTCCCTATAATTTAGGTAGGTCTTCCTAATGAGTCCCAACAAATGAATCTAAAATGACTACAGATCAGGGAAAATTGACCCATGTAAATCAGTTGGAGAAAAAGTTGTACGCAAGAATGAATACAACAAACCTTTAGCAATGCCGCATAAGAAGCAAGTAAAGAGCAACTATCACCTATTTGATATCAAATCCTACGAAAACAGAAAAGCAGGCAACAATATAATATTTAGTGTAGAGCCTTACAGAGAACTGATTGGCCATGATGGGTGAAGGCTCACATGAACCAGGTACAATTTGCCATTGTTTGAACTCTCCCCTAAACCCTCTGGATATGCTTCCGCTCCTGTAGCATAAATTGAGAAACCAAGTCAAACCCACCTGAGAATAAGAACAATATATGATGGACGAGGAGAACAAATAGCCATAATTGACTCTCCCACATACCCCATTCCACCAAGCGGAACTCCATGAGATGCTGATGGCTTGCAACTTTCTCTAGTGAAGGGATCTATTGGTGCTTTCTACAGAGATAGAGAAGGGTGCAGCGTATGAGTCAGTGCGTACATTTCTCGTTCATTTGTGAAAAGAAGAATCAATCAAACGAAAGGTAGCACCAATGAGATAGAAACTTACCCTTCCATGCGAGGCCTCCTCTCTAACATACGACCATAGGCGTATACCCAGCCGTACCTAGCACATCAACCCAGCATTTGATCAGATTGTAAGAAAGAAACAAAGTGAAGAATCAGCACCAATTTCGTTCACACTATAACAATGCTTTACCATCTTGATTGCTTCCCTAAAGGTAACGCTAAATTCTTTGAGTAAATTGGCATGGCTGTTCAATTTACGTCTCCAGGCGTGTTCTGGAGGCGCAGCACTATCAAAATCAAACTGCACAACAGGGGACAAAAAAAGGATCGTTACTCTCAGCTGTAATACGCATCTTAACTAGGTTCAATTGCGGCGCAACTTCTGCTACTCCAAGTATTTGGCACAGCTGCCACCTGCAATGGCGATTGGCAGCAGAGGGTGCGGAACGAACAGTACTAGCATTTACGATCCAGCACAGGACTCCAATCTCCAACCTTCTGCGCCCGATGGGATCTTATCGATGGCGACCAATGAATCAACAAAAGGAAAGACAGAGAGAGGCGAGAGAAGTCGAATCGCTCACCAATTGCAAGGTCGCTCTATTGATGTACTCCTCTGTCGGCCATGAATGCTTTCTATAGTGAAACAAATTGGTGGTCACCATGTCGACTAACTGAACCTTCTTCTTCTTCTCCTCTTCCCCGCAGAGCAAAATATCCAATCGAGAAGAGTGAAACCAAGAACAAACTCCACCTCCACTGCGAACCTAAAACGCCGGAATTCAATACGCCGATCAATCGAATCTAAATAGCAGCAGCATCGCCGCCGCCTTCAGCACCAAGCAAACTCCAAATCCGAAGTAGCCGCTAATCAAAATCTAACTTCCCCGCTAAGATCCTCCTATATATTTCTGTCCCTTTCTCTCCCTCTCTCTAATCTAAAAACTAAGGGATCAGAATTTCAAAAGCGAAGTCACCGCTTATCCACACACCACGACGTCGCCGGCGGAACACGATTTCGGATTCTCTGCCGGCAGGGATGGAATAACGACGGAACCGGGGGGAAAAGGCAAAAGAAGAATCAAAGTAAACCCCAGTAGTAATCAAATTGGGAACTGCGAATCTGCGATTGGCTGCTGGGAAGGAGAGGCGGAAGAAGAAGACGGCAACGGGAATCTCGGGGAAAGGAAGAGAGAGAAGAATGGAGTGGGCGGTGGCGGCAGCGTGGCGGGAGGAGGATGGAACGGCTGGACAGCGGTGGCTGCAACTCTGCGCTCCGCAAACGCCAAGTGGTGCGCGAATGCGATGCGGATGCAAACAAAAATATGACAACAAAAATAAAAGAAAAGGCGAAGAGAGAGAGAGAGATGGTGACGGTGGGCGGAGCGGGGAGAAAAGTAGGATATTGCATTAAAATTAATTGATTCTTTCTCTATCCGGAATTAAAATAGTTAGTGGAATACAGAGAGAGGGAGAAAGTAGCAGTGGAGACTGGCGAGACAAAAGAAAGAGTGACGGACCGATGTTTGAAAAAGGCTACATTGTTCGGTAATGTGAACGGACGGTAACAGCTCGCCATTGGCGAATGTGGAACGGGTTGTTTATTTTTCTTCTGGTGAACAGAGGGTTATTTTTCAATAATTAATTTCCTCTTCTTGTATAAAGACCATAGACCATCTATAATGAAGAATGTCTAAGGTTCCAGAAACTGGGATTATATATTTGACATTCTACACCCTACCAAAAATGAATTTTGTTTCAATGGTGGTGACGGTTACAATGTTAAAAGTGTCAAGCTGTAGACCCATAACTCCTCTCCTCGATTAAAAGAAGATGAAGAAAAAGAGTTGGCAGAAAGAAAATATTACCTTCCTCTTCGTTGAAGAAAATAAAGAACGGATAGGATGTTAACGGTTTCAAGTGTTAGTATGTTGTTAACATTATTTATAAGGGTATTATAGTAATTATTCACCATGTCGTCCTTGCTCTCCCCTCGCAACATTCTAGACCTCAGTCTCGCTCGCCCTTTTCCCTAATTTCTACGTCCAAACTTCAGCAGTCACCACGCATTTTCTCTCTCAAAATTTATTTCCATCGCCAAAAACTATAATTCCACCGCACTCGTTATCCTTCTCGATATGTAAGCTGCACAAAATAGCTAGCAAGCACACTTTACCATAAAGGGGAAAGAAAGAGGATGCTAATTTATATATATATATATATATATATATATATATATATATATATATATATATGGTTTAGGCAAAATTCGGTTAATTTATTGTCTAAATATCAAAACTCAACGGGCGTACGGTAGGCTAGGGTACGTCCAGGCGTACGCTAGCATTTGCTATATATATACAGCGCACTTACTTTTTTGGGTGCACTCAGTACACCCAACTCTAAAAGTGTCCATAATACATCAAATTTTGAACTTTAATTAGTACTCTCAATCTAATATGACGATATGACATAGAATCATAACAAATCAATCTATTACCCTAACCCCTTAACCTTCAATTTTGAATCCCAACCCAAAATCCCAAATTATAAACTAAACCCTAACCCTAAATCCCAAATCCTTCGAATTAAAGTAAATTTTGAATGATTTTATTTCAAATTCATGTGCTTCTTGTTCATAATATCATAAGCAACAATTGATACCGTTTTCACATGAATCCAATCCTCAAAATGACTTTTAGAGTTGGGTGTACTGAGTGCACAAAAAAAAGTAGGTGCACCGAATACGCCACCATATATATATATATATATGGAATTGGATACTACATATACTCCGTTGATATCATATTATTTAACTTATAATTTTTAATTACTGCATATCTTGTTATTTCATAATAACTAATATCTAAGCAACTAATGACACATAATTTATCTTTAAAATTATAAACATTACATATTTATTCATATACTCATATGTAATTTAAGGCTATCCGCAATCCGGAGAGAAAAAATTGGGGTTTTAAGACTCAAATGGTCTTTTAGCCTCCTCGGAAACATAAATAGTTGTAAATCAAGGGCTATAATTTTTTGTTTCGTATTTAGTAATCCTAACTTATGAACAATTAAGCTGATTTTTTAAATTTAAATTTTATACATTTGTTCATGATAATTCGATATGAACATTCAATAAAAATTGGAAAAAAATTGAGATACTTTTTTATATTTGAACTATAAAAATTTCCACCTAAATGAGTTTCGTTGACTAAAAAACACTGCATGAAATAACTAAACAAAATTTCTAAAAGGATAGAAAAGTGATCCCACAACTTAAGACTTCTTTTACTGTAAAGAAAAAAAAACTTTAGACCTCTTTTGGATCATTGATTTTTTTTTTCAGGTGGTCCCCACATTTTTGGCTCTCCCTTGTGGCCCCCCATCAAAATTAAAACCCTTTTTAGACCTTAGTTTGGAGACACTTTTTTGTGTTAAACGAGCAAAGCCTTAGGGTTGCGGTTAACCTAACAAACCAATGAATTATCAACAAACCAACTCATAAGATATAGATGAATTTGCTAAGCAGTAGTTTGCTTATATTTCTCAATGTTAAGATATCTCATGAGCTCAAAACAAGACAGCTCACGAGTTACGTTCAACAAGCCATTGAGTAGAGTTGGCTTGCGAGTCTCGCAAGCTGAACACGGTTTAGCTCAAGTTCAACTCATTAATAAATGAGTCGAGTTCAAATGAGTTTTTCTCGATCCGAACATGCGAGCAACTCATGAACAACTAGACTCATTTGCAGCCCTAACAACGAACTATTTAAAATCGGGTTGGTCTACAGGTACAACGAACCATCTCAAACTTGTGTATGTTGGAAAATTCTAGTGTAAGTGTGGTATTGTGGAATGTTTTTTACTAGTTTTTTTTTTAAGTACCATGCCTTTTATTTTACAATCTACCAAGTTTACAGATATATACATAATAATATACATGTATTCACCATAAATACATCTATTTAAAAAAATTAACTTTCAAATGATAACAAATACATTTTATACGTAAATTTTAAAACTTGTCGGATTTTGCAGCGATTTCGGAAATCTCGTGGGCCCCGACTTTCCAAGAGTTGTGTTATAGTATTGTAGTGTAGCTCCGCCCTTAGCTACCACATTAATAGCGAACTTAGACCCATCTTAATCACTACTTCGCTTCTTTGAGGTTTTCGACGGTGAGTATGGGAGGATTTCGAAGGTGTATGAGGTTTGTTTGGAGGTAAATGCACTACGGATGGGGATTTAGGTAGAGGGTTGAGACAATACGTAAATCTTCTTCTTTCTTCTTCTCCATTAGCAAATCCAAGGAGGACAATAGTGCACTCCGATCCAACGGAGTATCCTTCTGTTTTCCAAGATCTAGACTCAACATTCAGAGAGAGAAGTTATTGAAAGACAACCAGGAGATCCGTCAGTTCCAAATGGAGGACTTGGCGAAACTTCTAAATGGTAGACTCGACAACTCGAGCATTAGTAGGAAATCCTACAGCTGCGCCCTCTGCCACGTGTCACGAAATCACGGGCGGACCTTTGAGCTTCCCCTATTTTGGAAATTAGAATTTAGAATTTCCAATTTCAATTTTCAAAATTCGAAATTGGAATTTCAAAGGACATCTTAAGATAAAGGCTCAAATTCCCGCCCGTGAGGGGGGCACATAGGCGCCCTGCTCAGGTGTCCCTACCATAGCACAATCCAAGTCATAAGCACAAAGAGGGCGCCCTAAAGCAATCAGGATGTAGGGCGCCTTTCGAAAGGGGGGCATGAACCTAAGAGCCTTCAGTAACACGAACGGGCGCCCGGGCACGAGGCGAATGTTGAATGACCACAAAGGTCCGGCGCCCATCGAGAAATGGGATCTCCTAAGACGCGCCCCGATCGAGGGGTAAGTTAGGCGCTCAGGTCGAAGTCCATGGGCGCCTAACTGGGGGGCAATTGTTGGGGGTGCCACTTAAAAGGGCCCAAAAGAAAACACAAGAAAGAGCTCTTTCAATCGGCAGTGGGCCAGGATAGGAAGCTCACAAAGCCCACTTCATACCAGGTAAGTAGGTAACATAGGCTTGGAAAGCTCACGAAACCATACGCTGGGAAAAGCGAGGTCGCTTTGGAATTTCACTTTTTGGAATTTCAGATCTTCTTGGAAGGCGACGTTTTGGAAGGTGTCGTTTTGGAATGTGTTTCTTTCCCTTTGTTTTTTTTATTTAATTCATTTATTATGTATTATTGCTGTGCAGCTGTGCGAATGTGTTTCTTTCCTTTTTTTTTATTTTTTTATTATTGATTTACTTAGATAAAAAAATAAACAATCAAGACAGGTAAGATCATGATTCAAAATCAGCAAGATCGGATTGGAAAATCATTCCCAACTCACTACGAATAAATAAAAATTGATCTATAGGTAGTGGTTTAGTGAAAATGTCCGCTAGTTGTTCACTCGTAGGTATGAAGGAAATAGACACGGTTTTACTCTGAACTAGCTCTCTAAGAAAGTGATATTTAATTTCTATATGTTTTGTTCTAGAGTGTTGGACCGGATTTTTGGACATATTGATAGCACTTGTATTATCACATAAAATAGGGACGGTAGGAGTTATAATCCCATAGTCTGCTAGTTGAGTTCTTAGCCATAGAAGTTGTTGACAACAACTTCCTGCAGCAATATACTCAGCCACAGCGGTTGAGAGGGCTACGGAGTGTTGTTTTTTACTAAAGCACGAGATTAGGGATCGACTATAAAATTGACAGGTTCCAGAGGTACTCTTTCTATCCGTTCTACTTCCCGCAAAGTCTGAATCGCTAAATCCCATAAGTTCAAGGTTTGTTTCCCTAGGATACCATAAGCCTAAGGTAGGTGTACCTTTCAGGTAGCGGAAGATGCGCTTAACGGCACTAAGATGACTTTCCTTAGGCTTGGACTGGAAACGAGCACACATACAAACACTGAACATAATGTCTGGCCTACTGGCTGTGAGATAGAGAAGTGAACCTATCATCCCACGATATTTACGTTCATCGACATCTATACCACCTTCATCCTTGCCTAGTTGAATATTGGTAGCCATTGGGGTCAGACTAGGATTAAGACCACTAAGATCAAACTTGGTCAACATGGACTGAGTATAGTTTGTCTGACTAATGAAAATTCCTCTTGAAGTTTGTTGGATTTGAAGTCCTAGAAAGTAGGTAAGCTCACCCATCATACTCATTTCAAAATTTTGTTGCATGGAGGAGGCAAACTCTACACACATAGCTTCATTGGTAGCACCAAAAACTATGTCATCAACATAAATCTGGACGACCATAAGGTCATTGTTATGTTTCTTTAG